TTCAGAGAGAAATGTATTTTCATTTCAAAGATCTTCCACTACGTCATTCCTAGCACTTTGCAGTCTCTAATTTTATGGACAGAACGTTCTTTTATCTCATTTAATTCCCATAACTGTACCAATTTTTAAATCTATATATTTGGTTTCTAATCTTTCTATTTAACTGGAGTAAGCTTATTCAAAACCATTTTATTTAAATATTGGTGTAATTACTTTGCTTACAATTGTTCAAAGTGTTTTTAGATCTTCTATCTGTTTTAGCTTTTTCTAATTGTCGTTTTCTCCTTTCTTTCAGAATGGAGGTGCCATTGTGATGACTTTGAGCCAGACTGGGTCTCTTTTTAAGCCCAGGAAAGCCTATCTGCCCCAGGAACTGCTGGGAAAGGTCAAACCATTGAAAAACTTGTTTCCCTTAGATAGTCATTCTGTCTAAAGACATCTTTTTCTTTTTCTTTACATAATTTCAGACTTGGATAAAAATTATATTCCTGTATGACTTCACCCAAATTCCTAAAATGTTAACATTAATCATATTTGCTTTATTCTTCTTCCTCTTCATTCATTTTTTTCTGAATATGTAGCAGTAACCTGAGGATGCCTCTTTATTTCAAAATCATGTGTACTTCTTAAAACCAAAGATATCTTAATATATAACCAAAGCACAGCTGTCAAAATCAGAAAGTTGACATCGATATAATACTGTTAACCTAACCTATGGAACTTATTCTGGTTTTGACAGAATATCCCAATATTCTTTACAGAAAAAAGAGGGTCTTGGGCAGCATCTTGCACTCAGTTGTCATGTGTCTTTAGTCTCCTTTAACCTGGGACCGTTCCTCAGTCTTTGTCTTCTATAATCTTAATATTTTTATTTCTGAAGAATACATGCCAGTTATCTTAGGGGTTATTTTATGAAGTTGTCTGATGTTTTTCTCCTGATTGTATGTGATATTAGAAGTGATGTGTGCTCTTAGTGCATAATATTAGGAGGCACATGAAACCTATTTCTCCTACTACTAGCAGTGTTAACTTTGAACACATAATTAAGGTGGCATCCATTTGGTTTCTCCTCAGTGAAGTTGTTATTTTACTTTTATAGTGAATAAATAACCTTGTGGATGTATATTTTGAGACTAGGTAAATATCCTGTTACTCCTCAAATTTCTCCTTACTAGTTTTAGTACTCATTGGTGATTCTTCCTAAATTAGTTATCATGATAATAGCAAAATAGATATATTCTATTTCCATCATTTCCTCTAAATGTATCAGTTGGCTTTCTATTATATGTAAGAGTTTTCCTTTTTACCTTATGTATTTATTTATTTCAGTACAGACATGTGGATTCTTAATTTTTAATACCATTATTTATTTCGATGCTTAAATTATCCCAGATTTGGCCAGTAGGTGCCCCTTTAAGCTTACCCTGGATGCATATGGGCTACTAATAACACCCAGTTAAAGGCACCTTCTGGACCATGGTTGGGCAATGTTAATACCCACCATTTCTAAGCCATGGAAAACTGATAGAGAAGAATTTATTTTCAAGATGAATTCATGCCCTGGCTGGTTTGGCTAAGTGGATACAGCATCGGCCTACAGACCAGAAGGTCCAGGGTTTAATTCCAGTCAAGGGCACATGCACGGGTTGCGGGCTCAATCCCCAGCTGGGGGCGTGTAGGAGGCAACTGATCGATGATTCTCTCTCATCATTGATGTTTCTAGCTAACTCTCCCTCTTCCTTCCTCTCTGAAGTCAATAAAAATATTTTTTTAATTGAATTTCTAATGAAGTCAACATAGAACACAGTTGCCTGCAACAGCCACACACACACACAGGCAACATGTAGTAGATGAACCAGAAGGAAAAGAGATTATCTTTAAAAGAGAATGTGTGGCCAAAAGCACTACCTAGTGCAGTGATGGCGAACCTTTTGAGCTCGGCGTGTCAGCATTTTGAAAAACCCTAACTTAACTCTGGTGCCGTGTCACATATAGAAATTTATTGATATTTGCAACCATAGTAAAACAAAGATTGATATTTTTTTTTAAAATATATTTTACAGATTTTAACAAAGAAAAATCAACTAAAAAAATGAGTTCGCGTGTCACTTCTGACACGCGTGTCATAGGTTCGCCATCACTGACCTAGTGCGTACAGGCCCTGTGTGTCACTTAACAATTACTATATCTTTACCCTTTTTCTTTTCCAGGAAGGATTTGATGCCTTGGATCCCTTTATTCCTATCCTGGTTGGCAACTATAACCCAAAAGAATTTGAAAGTTGTATTCAGTATTATTTGGAAAACAGTTGGCTTCAACATGAGAAAGGTCAGTTGTATAATTTTTTCTATAAGGACTTTATCTGTCAGGAAGAGCCCCACTGTCAAAACCTTGACCTTCTTCCCTCAAGAGTAGTGTGTAGTTTGTATTTCATCTTTATTCCCTTTATCTTGACTTCTTCCTGGCTGATCACATGGTACAGAAGGGGGGTGGGGTAAGGTTTAATTTACAAAAGACATTCTATCTCTCCCTAAATTCCCAGAGTAGTCTACAATAAAATGCTCATGCTGAGAGAGGAGGCCAAACCAAGCCCAGTCACTTGGTTCAGGTTGCTGGCCACACTCTCATTGTTGCATTTTTCTTTGTTTGTTTTTTTATCTTTTTTGTTCATTGTTGCATTTATTCATCATTCAACAAACTTCAGTTGACTCATATGCTAGGACACCCACAGAATAGTTGACTGTGTAAGAGACTAAACCCCGCCGCCCCATCAAACCAAATCTTTGCTCTATCTGTCCTAGTCTTGTACATGAGAGCATTCGAGCTGTTCTTTTTATCCTTGCCCTCGGCTTAAGGACAGGGAGGAGGAGGAAGATATAGAGGAAAAGTCAAGGCTGTTCTATCGATAGGTCATAGAGAATTAGCTGTAACTGGAATATGTTACTAAAGGAAAGAGTATAAAGCAGCTGCAACATGATGGGTTGGGAAGCACAATGGAGAGATTTGGGGTGGTTAGGAGATTTGACCATGTCCTAAAGTCCAGAAGATAATCTTGGAATAATGGGAAAGATAAATGCTGGACTGGAAGAATAGAGACAGAAAGGGAAATGTGCATAGAAATATAATCATTTATTAGGATGAAGGATCTAGCAGTGAGGTCTCTGGGAGTGCTGATGGCATCAGAATGTAATCTAGATAATGTAGCCTCTACAGAATTCTCTGGGTGTAACTTAATACTTCAGGAGAAAACTGCCAATTATCTGTGCTTGACTCCATTCAGCTCACACGGAAGAAGGTAAAAAGGAGCTGCTGTTCCTAAGCAATGGGAATCCTGGGCAGCTGGAGCGGCTCTGTGCCTACCTCTAGGCCATGGCCACAACATGCATGGAAGGCAGTGGACATCACAGGTCCAATCAGATGGGACGTCCACAGCACACACACAGCTCATGAGACTGGACAGTACTGCAAATCAACTCCCAACTTGGCTGAAATGGGTTCCCTGTAAAGTGACTATAATGGCAATAAGACATCCTCTTGTTCCTGAAACTAATAGCAGTTTATTATATATGGTTTTCACATTTTAATTGTGCCTTTTTTCCTAAAAATTAAATTATCTTTCTTAAAGTGTTGTGTTAGATCTATACTATGGGAAGAGTCTTCAGATTGGCCAAATTTTACACTTCAGATGAAGGATACACTAATGGAAATGAATAAATGATCACGGGGCCAGGTGTGTGTGTGTGGAGTGGGGGGAGTAGAGTGCACACCCAGTGTCTAACCAGGGTTGGGCAAACTTTTTGACTCGAGGGCCACAATGGGTTCTTAAACTGGACCGGAGGGCCGGAACAAAAGCATGGATGGAGTGTTTGTGTGAACTAATATAAATTCAAAGTAAACATCATTACATAAAAGGGTACGGTCTTTTTTTTTTTTAGTTTTATTCATTTCAAACGGGCCGGATCCGGGGCCCACGGGCTGTAGTTTGCCCACGGCTGGTCTAACCCCTCTGCCTAAGGCAGTGAGTGGTTCTCAACCTTCCTAAGGCCTCGACCCTTTAATACAGTTCCTCATGTTGTGGTGACCCCCAACCATAACATTATTTTCGTTGCTACTTCATAACTGTAATTTTGCTACTGTTAGGAATCGTAATGTAAATATCTGATATGCAGGATGTATTTTCATTGTTACAAATTGAACATAATTAAAGCATAGTGATCAATCACAAAAACAATATGTAATTATATGTGTGTTTTCCGATGGTCTTAGGCGACCCTATGAAAGGGTCGTTCGACCCCCAAAGGGGTCTCGACCCACAGGTTGAGAGCCGCTGATACATGTTTTCCGATGGTCTTAGGCGACCCCTGTGAAAGGGTCATAGTTCGACCGGGGTCGCCACCCACAGGTTGATAACCGCTGGCCTAAGGGGTCAACTCTCAGGGCCCTACCACACCGGTTTGAGGACCTGGGGCTGCAGGCAGGACCCGGGGAACTGGTGACCAGCTGGGGCCCGGGCTCAGCAGGTCCCTGGGGCTGCAGGGCAGCGCTGAGGGTGCCTGTGCTGAATGGGGGCCCAGGGGATGAGCGATGCTGCCACGGAGGTGGGGGGGCATCGGGCACTTGGACCAGGAGGCGCCGGGGCAGAGCCACGTCTCAGAGCGAATGCAGGCAGTCTGCTGGTTTGCAGACCCCGAATCAGTTTCATTTCGAGGTAAAACAAAATCTACCAGGAGAGGCAGGCGGCCTAAGCCAGACGGGAAAAATCATGGTATTTTGTAATCTAAGCCACAGACAGTGAGGGGAGGCGGGATGTTCCCCACACAGGGCCCTCGCCCCAATGCAGCGGGACTCCGCCAAGGTCACCAGCTGGGAGGGACCTTGGGACAAAGAGAGCAGCCGCCCCGGAGGCTCTGGTGCCATGACCATGACCGGACCCCTGTCTGCTGGGGGTGGATGGGGGGCGAGGGGAAGGGTGAAGCCCATCAGAGCAAATGGCCGCTTACCCAGAGGTCACAGGTCAAGGAGACAGAGGCTCTGCGCGGCCGAGGTTCCATTTCCAGCTCCGTCCTTTTACTGCTGTGCACCCTCCAAGGAAGAAGTCACTCACCCTCTCTGTGCCGCAGCAGCTTCACCTGTGCAATGGGCACGTGAACGGGGCGTGGTCACGTGATCTGCCGGAAGTGAACACAGTGTGGGGTTATGTTAGGAAGGACGAGGGGGGCACCTGAAGATGGAGGAGAGGCCACGTGAAGACGAGGGGCGATTGAAGGGATGGGGCCAGGAGCAGAGGAGCCCCCAGAAGCTGACCAGGCAGGAAGGACCCTGGCCTGGAGCCCTCCGAGGGACCACAGCCCTGGACGCCCTGATTTCAGATTCTGGCACCCAGATGGGGAGAGCACTTGTTCCTGTCGGTTTAGGCCAGTCTGTAGTCATCTGAGCCGCAGCCTCAGGAAATAGACCCCTCCTTTTGGGGTTTTATTTTATTTTATTTTTTATGGATTTCAGAGAGGAAGAGGCAGAGAGAGAGAGAAACATCAATGATGAGAGAGAACCATTGACTGGCTGCCTCCTGCAAGCCCCTCACTGGGGATTGAGCCCGGGCATGTGCCTTTGACTGGAATTGAACCTGGGACTGTTTAGTCTGCAGGCCGACACTCTATCCACCAAGCCAAACCGGCTAGGGCTCCTTTTGGGGCTTTGACGGGGTTCTGGGAACAGCTGAGCCCTGTGCTCCGTGGCAGGGAAGCCCCCTCCACCCCAGACTTCACACTGCAGGGCTCACAGGGAGATCATCCCTGTGTCTGTGCCTGGGCCCTGTCTCCTGCTCCCTGAGGCTCCTCCGCAGTGACAGTGCAGTGGGCACACCAGGCAGGCTGCTTGGTGGGAGCGCAGGCCACGTGGCTCAGGGACTCTCCGCTGCCTTGCCCAGCCCCCAGCTGCAGGAGGAGGCAGGGCACTCCCCAGCCCCGCCCTTACCTCCCTCCCGGGCCTTCCCCTAAGGCAGCGGTTCTCAACCTGTGGGTCACGACCCCTTTGGGGGTCGAACGACCCTTTTCACAGGGGTAGCCTAAGACCATCGGAAAATGTATATAATTACATATTGTTTTTGTGATTAATCACTATGCTTTAATTATGTTCAATTTGTAACAATGAAATTGGGGGTCACCAAAGCATGAGGAACTGTATTAAAGGGTCGCGGCATTAGGAAGGTTGAGAACCACTGCCCTAAGGAGTCCTGCCTGGGCCTGGGCCTGGGCTTCCTGGAGCACCTGGCTTGACAGGAGCCCACAACTGGGTTGCCGTGCCCATATTCTAGATGTCAAGACTGAGGCTCAGAGAGGGGGAGCAGAGGTCCTTACCCCCAGCCAACCTCCCCCTCAACTCAGCCCAACTCACGGGTGGCTCCCCCAGCTGCCTCCGGGTTGCCATGGTGTCAGAGGAGGGGGAAGAGGAGGAGAAGGAGGAGGAGGAGATGATGATGATGAGGGGCAGATTTCTGAGAAGCAATCCCCGAACACACACCAGCTGGCCCCTCCTTGCTCACTTCCTCTCTCCAATGTCAAAGCATCCATTTGTGCAGCTGGGCCAGGGCCGCTTCCTCGCTGGGAGCAAAGAAGGTCAAGAAGGCAGAGGGCCCAGGGAGTGGGTTCTGGGACCCCAACCTCAAACAGCAGATTTCCTGGACCCGAACTCGATTGCCCTTCCACAGTTCCCAGACCAGGGGGGCTCTTTCCTGCCTCCCTGCCTTCGCGCATGCAGTTCCCTCCATCTGGAATGCCCTTCCTCAGCCTTCAGGTCCCAGCTGGCTTTAACTCCCCTGGAGAATCTCCCCTGAGTCCCCAGGGGCTCCCCTACATCCTGCACCCACCAAGGTCACAGCCATTTTCTTGATGATGCTCTCACGGGGCAGTGAGGTCTTGGGGATGCTAGCTTTGCCTTTGTAGCCCAAGCGCCTGGCACAGACAGGGAGGGAGGCAAAGGGAGCAAAGAAACACCTCTGGTTGGATTGGAGAGGATCTGGACTGTGAGCACCGGGCACAGGGCTGGGCACGGAGCAAAGCCCATTCCCTTCCTGCCACTTGAGCCTGGGCTCCAGCACCTTCTGCATCACCCCATTTGGAGCCGGCTCAGGGGTCCTCTCTACACCCACAGGCCTGTGTCTGTTGTCCCTTTGGAGGCGAGGTAATCACACCAGGATGCAGGCGTGCACTTGACTTCACAAGGAGCTCCGTGTGTTGGGGAGAATTGGGAGAAAGGCCTCCATCTCCGAAATCCAGGACCAGGCAAGCTTGCAAGGGCCTGAGGGTTGACCTCGAGCAGGGGACTTCAAATGGTTTCCACGCTGAGTACTTTCTGCAAACAATGCCTTACCTGATGGCCGTGACATGTAACAGATGGGAACTAAGCTGCTTGGGGCGAAGTGGTGCACGTTGAGGGCGCCTGGGAGAGGGGACAGACAGATAAAGATAGTTCACAGGGTTAGAAATCAGGGAGGCTGTGGCTTTTTGAGCGGAAGAAAGGGGTGCGTGGGAAGCTTTAGGGGAGCACCTTTTCCACCAAGCTTTTAATTTTGCCTGAAGCAGAATTATCTGGAGAGAAGAGACAAACGCTGCAAGAGCAGTAAGACGTAGGGTGAACCCCAACAGTCCCCACCTGAGCAGCAAAGACCACCGCACCAAGAACGCGCCAGCAAGGGGCGGAGGCTCGGGCGCTACAACTTCCGGCGTGGGCCCCACCCCTTGGCAACCACAAGCAAGTAGGACTAGTCCACGACAGGAAGAGGCGGGAATGATGAGCGGTGTCTCTAAGGCCCAATGAATCGTTCATCCTCTGGGAAAAGACGTATTTGCGGACCAATAGGGCTCAGAGGGTGAGGCTCCGCCTACAAGCCTGCCGAGCCAATCGGCTGAGAGCAGCGAGTGGGCAAGCGCTGGCTTTGCGACTTCGTGGAGTCGCGCGGCATGGCGGGCGGCGCCCGGGAGGTGCTCACGCTGCAGTTGGGACATTTTGCGGGTTTCGTGGGAGCGCACTGGTGGAACCAGCAGGTGAGGTCTCTTGGCAGTTGCCCCAGCGGAGCCTTTCGGGACCTCCAGCCCTTGCCTCCCGCTGGCCCATCTGCCACCCCTGAGTCCGGTCCCTTTTCTGCCTCCCCAGGATGCTGCGCTTCGTGAACCGACTGACACCCAGGAGCCGCCGGGGGAGCTGTGCCCCGACGTCCTGTTCCGGGCCGGCCGAACGCTGCACGGCCAGGAAACGTACACGCCGAGGCTCATCCTCATGGATCTAAAGGGTGAGGCGGTGGCCGGGGTCTGCCAGTGCCCATGTTCTCCTTCGCATCGGAGTCTCGAGCATCCGTTCGTCTCAGGACCCTCTGACCACACTAAGCTGAAGGGCACAGATGAGTTGCCCAGGGAGAGCTAAGCACAATAGACAAATGCCCAGGGACGCAAGAAGGCACAGCTTTATTCCGTTCACGAGCCATCTCTGGAGTGGGCTGCTTGTCCCTGGAGACAGTGACACGGCCGGCCTCTAAGACCGCTGGGTATGGTCTTTGCCTCATACCCACAGCTAAGGAAAGGATGAAATCTAGATTCTCCTAGGCAATGGTGTTGGTTTTTCCCCCCAACTTATGGATATTCAAGAAAGCTTGGAAGTGCCAAGTGCTGGAGGGATGGTGACAGCAGGTTTTCGGGTGATCAGAGGAAGATTACCTGAAGCCTGGGAGGGACTAGGCTTTGATTTCACATTTCCTGTTATTTCTGTGCAGGTAGTCTGAGCTCCCTAAAACAAGAAAGTGGACTCTACAGGGACAAACAGCTAGACGCTGCAATAGCATGGTATTTGTCGTCTGGAGAAGAGTGGGAGATGTGCACAAAATGCTGGAAAACAAAGGCAAACTGGCTGTGATCCGTCTCCAATTTCTTTAAGGCAGGGGAAGCTCACCACACACAAAGAGGAACTCCATCCCAAGAATCCTTATCTCCAGGATCTTCTGAGTGTGGAGGTGAGGGTCTCAGCCCTGAACTTCTTTTTCAAATTATGAAAGTTTATTTAGAAAGTTACAGAGGTAGTAAAAGTGAGCCATAGAAGAAACAAATGGCTAAGGAAACAAGTTACAGAGGCAAAAGAAAGGTTTGGGAAAGGACAGTGGGAAAAAAGATCTGAGAGGGTGTGCCCTGGGGAGGGGGCGGGGACAGACAGAGAGACTGCTCTGAACTTGCACACCGAGTGCTACAACCACAGTGCCTCCACTGGGTCAGAGAAATAGAGGATTTCAATCATCTTAAATGCCTTAAATAGTAATTTTGGAAGAAGCACTTTTCTTCCTAAAGGACTGTGACTACGACCTGGACAGTGTGGTTCAATGGTTGAGCATCAACCTATGAAACAGGTCACGGTTCGATTCCTGGTCAGGGCACATGCCCGGGTTGCAGGCATGATCCCCAGTGTGGGGCGCGGGGCGGGGGGCGGCGGCGTGCAGGAGACAACCTATCAATGATTCTCTCTCATCACTGATGTCCTCTCTCTCCTCTGCCTCCTCTCTGAAATCAATAAAAATATATTTTAAAAATGAATAAATAAAAAGGACTGTGACTACATAAACAGAAAGGAGGCTGCAGGGTGTGGCCAGCGAGATCAGGGAGGGTGAGCCTTCTGCCTTTATTTTTTTTTGGTTTTCTAAATTTTTTTAAAATATATTTTATTGATTTCTTTTTAATTTTGTTTTATTGCTTCAAGTATTACAAAGAGTATTATATATGTCTCCTTTTTTCCCCCTTCTTGACATTCCCCCAGCTTCCCCTATCCCCCAGTGTCTTATGTCCATTGGTTATGCTTATATGCATGCATACAAGTCCTTCAGTTGATCTCTTACCCCACCCCCAACCCTCCCTGGCCTTCCCGCTGTAGTTTGATAGTCTGTTCGATGCTGCTCTGCCTCTGTATCTATTTTTGTTCATCAGTTTATAATGGTCTTTATTATCCATAAATGAGTGAGATCATGTGGTATTTTTCCTTCATTGACTGGCTTATTTCACTTAGCATAATGCTCTCCAGTTCCATCCATGCTGTTGCAAATGGTAAGAGTTCCTTCTTTTTTACAGCAGCATAGTATTCCATCGTGTAGATGTACCACAGTTTTCTAATCCACTCATCTACTGATGGGCACTTAGGCTGTTTCCAGATCTTAGCCATGGTGAACTGTGCTGCTATGGAGGCTGCAGGGTGTGGCCAGCGAGATCAGGGAGGGTGAGCCTTCTGCCTTTAGACGCCTGGAACTAAGTACAGATTTTTCTCATCCCTCCCAGGGAGTGCTGAGCAGTGATGGTCTCTGGAGGGTCAAATCCATTTCCAACGGCAAAGGTGAGAGCGGTCCAAGTGCTGCAGGATGGGAAGTGGGCAGAGCGGGAACATGGAGAAGGTGAATTTCCTCTCATTTTCCTTCAGGTCTCACACCACTCACCACTGCTGCAACTCCAGAGCCACTCGTCCCCACGGAGGGCAGCATCAGGGTCTGGTCAGACTTCCTCAGAGTGCACCTCCATCCCCGGAGCATCTGTATGATTCACAAGTACAACCACGATGGGTATGGGGCGCCCCAGAGGCTGTGAGGCAAGAAACTGGGTCCCTACCAATGTTGGATGGGAGATCTCGGGGTCGGGAGGGGGGGGCGGGGAGGAGCAGGACCCTGTAAGTCCTGGATTGTGTTTATGCACGATAGTGAAGCAGGCCGCCTGGAGGCTTTTGGCCAAGGGGAGAGTGTCCTGAAGGAACCCAGGTACCTAGAGGAGCTGGAGGACAGGCTGCACTTCTACGTGGAGGAATGTGATTACCTGCAGGTAGCTGAGGGGCACAGTGGACACTGGGGTAAACTCTTCTACTTTTTTTTTAAGGTTTTTAAATTGATTTTTGAAGAGGGAAAGGGGAGAGGGAGGGAGGGAGAGAGAGAAACAATGTGAGAGCAACACATCAGTTGGCTGCCTCCTGCACAACCTCTACCGAGAACCAGCAACCTCTTGGTGCCTGGGACTATGCTCAACGAGCCACACCCACCAAGGCTCATTCTGCTCATCGTTCACCTCTCTAGGGCTTCCAGATCCTGTGCGACCTGCACGATGGCTTCTCTGGTGTAGGTGCGAAGGCCGCAGAGCTGCTACATGACGAGTATTCTGGGCGCGGGATAATAACCTGGGGCCTGCTCCCCGGTCCCTACGCTCTTGGGGTGAGTAGAACTGGGAAGAAAAACCTCAGTGGAGGGAGAAATGAGGGAATGATAGCCCAGTGAGGAAGTGCTGAGAACAAACTCCTCTTTCTTTCAGCAGGAGCCCCAGAAGAACATCTACCGTCTGTTAAACACAGCTTTTGGTCTGGTGCACCTGTCTGCTCACAGCTCTCTAGTCTGCCCCTTATCCTTGGGTGGGAGCCTGGGGCTGAGACCTGAGCCACCCGTCAACTTCCCTCACCTGCGTTATGATGTAAGGCTCAATGCTCTTGTTCTGCTAGTAAAAGGGACTGTCCCATTCACCAAGTCAGCCTGTTCTTGAAGCCTCAGCTTGAACTCAGCTATGATGGGGCCTCTTAGATCACATCCTGTGTTTATCCAGCCTTAGGACAATCACACCGATTTGTCTCCAAGCCCCCAGACCCCCCTGCCAGTACTATCCCGCTTCCACACGCTCTTCCCAGAGCTGAGAGACTGAGTGCTCTTTTTGGTCTCCTCTTTATAGGCAACTCTGCCCTTCCACTGCAGTGCCATCCTGGCTACAGCCCTGGACACAATCACTGTTCCTTATCGCCTACATTCCTCACCACTTCCCATGGTTCATCTGGCCGATATGCTGAACTTCTCTGGGAAAAAGGTATGAAGCTTTGTGAGGGGTTAGGTCACAACTGAGAAAAGGCCCTGTAACTTGGTTTTGTCCTTACCTTTAAGGTGGTGACAGCAGGAGCATCCATCCCCTTCCCTTTGGGTCCAAGCCAGTCCCTTCCCGATACCCTGCTGCAGCTCGGAGGGGCCACCCCTTGGACTCCACTGTCTGCATGTGGGGACCCTTCTGGAACACACTGCTTTGCCCAGTCAGTGGTGCTGAGGGGTCTAGACAAAGCATGCCACACCAGGTGAGGACTGGCGGTCCTTAGGAGCCCTTGTCAGGCCTCTGTTTCGTGTTCTTTTCTCTCTAATACCTCTGGACATTCTCATGGTATTGCCCTTCTCTTCTTCCCTCTGTCCCACTTTAAAAAAGAAAAAAACCCGAGCACCCCCATATTAAAGGTGATTTTGTCTTTGTTCTGGCAGTCAGCTCACCCCAGGTACGCCTCTGCCTTCCCTGCTCCATGCCTGCACCACCGGGGAGGAAGTCTTGGCCCAATATTTACAACAGCAGCAGCCTAGAGCCAGGAGGTTAGTAAAACACTTGCTCCTGCTCTCCTCCTAGATCTCAGACCTCCCTCGACCTTTTCTCACTCAGCTATTCTCTTGTCCCCAGTTCTTCTCATCTGCTGCTGACTCCCTGCAAGGTGGTTCCTCCTTATCCCTGCCTCTTCTCCTCAAGCCTCAGCCAGCAGGGCTTGGTTCTGGATAATCCCCCAACTGGGGCAGGTATGTAGGAGACGACGAAAACCAAGATTTACTCTATCACTTCCTGGATAAAGATACTTTAAAGTCACAGTCCAACATTTCTTTATTCATTCGATGGTTCCCAAAGACTTTTCTTCCTCTGGAGTACTGGTATACTAAGGGGACAGTACACAAAATTTATTGAGTTTACTTTATAATCAAGTCAACTAAAGACCCAGACTTCCCTATCGATACGGCAGACTCAGGGTGAAGGAACCATCTGACTACAGGTCTCTTTTCTCTCCCTCTGCGGCAGGGGAGAGCATCCCAGTGCTCGGGGCCCTCTGCTCCTCTTCATCCTTGAACCGGACCCTGGGAGACTTGGCCAAGGAACTCACCAAACTCAACCTGCGGCGCTGGGCCAGCTTCATGGACGCTGGGGTGGAACTGGATGACCTAGGGGAGCTGCTGCAGGAGCTGTGCAGTCTGGCCCAGTGCTACCAGCATGGTGACAGCCTTATGGACTGAAGTTCCAAGAAAAGGAAAGAACTAGTTTACAATAAAAAGTGCTGGATGCAGGAGCTATGTCTTGGGACTGGCTACACCAACATATGCACTTATTACATTTATACAGAATCACTGTGCCTTACATCACAATAAATGTGTACCATCAGGACAAAAAATTCAAAAAGGGTAGAAAGGAGCTGAGCCCCTCTCCCGCAACACTATCTACAAAATGGCTCTAAAGATTTCGTAACAAACACTGAGTGAGGCGGAGAATGGCAGAGCCATGAGAACCCTCAGCCTAGCTTTGTCCTGTCCTTGGCCCCTGCTCCTTCAGCTCTATACTGAGCTCAAGGGGCACACAAGCAAGGTACAACCACCCTTTCCCTCGTCAGGGTGCCTGTGGTTTTAATCCTACACACACATCTCCCACATGCTTCCTGAGTCTCACTCATCCAGCTCCTCCTCAGACAGAAGATCCCCATGGTCAGAGAGCTGGTCTGCATTGCTGGTGCTGGTTGCATCGTCTTCATCCTCCGAGCTGGCCTCGCAGGCGGTGTGGAAGAGCTGCATGAGTTCTCGAAAACGGTGGGAAACCTAGGAGGAGAGGGGAAGGTTGGTGTTCCCTGTCTCTAAGTAACATAAAGCATTATATACCAAGTTAAACAACCTTGTTTTCTCCACACAATAAGGTCCTCCTTAAAGGTAAGAAAATTCAGGTTAAGTGGCTAAATATTTTGTCCAAAGTCACTCCTAAAACCGAAACTACAATGGAATCTCTGGGGCTTCCACCTCGAAATCCAATGCCCTTTCTCTTCTAGAACCACTACAAACACCCTGGGAAGCCAGGCCCTTCCTCAGCAGAGCTTTACAATCTTACCTCCTCTTAGTCGGCCAGCCTGTCCTCTTCCTGCCTCTCCTGGATTTGAAACTGTCGAGGACTCCCCCCGCCCACTTACCTCAGTAGGAGTCTTATTTCCTAGCTGCTGGGAGATGATTCGAAAAGTCTGGGGCTGTGCTCCTTGTTCCTGGCACATGGTGAGAATCACACGGTCAGCTTCCCTGTAACCATATATTGTGATGAGTCCTAAGTTAGTGTCATGGATGTGGTCACGTGCTTTATAAACACACACCCACCCCTACCTACCGTGTCCACAGGACCACCTTTTCCCCGGTGGAGCTGACCTTGCTGTTGTTCGCACATACGGTGACTTCCGTGGCCTTTGGCTGCTGCTCCCCTTCTGGACCCCTGACCTGTACTCCACTGTCTTTAGCCAAACCTCCTTTAGGGGTTTTGGGAGAAGTCTCTGAGGTGTCAATTCTTGATGAAGATTCAAGGACTGAGGACTTCCTGTCTGATGTCTTCATACCAGTTCTGCTGGAAGGCAGCCAGCTCTCTTGAGTATCTGGTTTCCCAGACACCTGTCCTCTCCCCAAGTCTCTGGTCCTGGAGGAAACAGGACTCGGGAAAGAAGCAGGGGGCTCCAGAGTTCCAGGACACTGAGTTTCTGAAGCATCGCAGACCGGCGTGGAAGACTCTGCGTCACCTGCTGCCTGATGGCCCTCCCCCTCATCCTGAAGCCTGGGGAGCTCCGTGCAGCAGGAAGCCTCCGGTTTGACCTGGTCTGTCCTGGTGTCTAGAACAACTCCAGTGTTGGAGGGAAGCTGAGGAGTCTCTGGTGAGCTGGGCGGTGGGCCATCCAGGAGGAGCTGCCGTTCTGTAAGAATCACTTCTTGAGGGGACAGCAAAGTGCTCCCCACTGCCAATCCTGCTTAGGAGGAAACAAAGATCTAACAGTGTGGACAGGGTGGAGATGCAACTAAGGACTGACTTCAAATTACCACACGGTCACTCTGATAAACTACTGTGACAAAATTCTAATCCAAAAGAGTGAGGTGGGGGTCAGGGCTAAAGTCACGTTTAAAGAAATAAGCCCTGGCCCGGTGTGGTTCAGTTGGTTGAGTGTCGCCCCATGCATGGAGAGGTCACAGTTCAATTCCCAGTTGGGGCGCATGCCCAGGATGTGGGCTTGATCCCCAGTGGGAGGCATGCAAGAGACAGCTGATTGATTGCTCTCTCTCACTGATCAGTAACAAAAACCTATTTTAAAAAAAGAAATACTGGTACAGCCACTATGGAAGACAGTATGGAGTTTCCTCAAAAAGCTGGAAATAGAACTCCCATTTGGCCCTGTGATCCCACTTCTAGGAATATATCCCAAGAAACCAGAAACACCAATCAGAAAGGAATGTGCACCCATATGTTCATAGCAGCACAATTCACCATAGCTAAGATCTGGAAACAGCCTAAGTGCCCATCAGTAGATGAATGGATTAGAAAACTGTGGTACATCTACACGATGGAATACTATGCTGCTGTAAAAAAGAAGGAACTCTTACCATTTGCAACAGCATGGATGGAACTGGAGAGTATTATGCTAAGTGAAATAAGCCAGTCAATGAAGGAAAAATACCACATGATCTCACTCATTCACGGATAATAAAGACCATTACAAACTTTTGAACAATAATAGATATAGAGGCAGAGCTGCCTCAAACTGAGTGTCAAACTGCAGTGGGAAGGCCAGAGAGGGTTGGGGGGCAGAAGGGAGGGGAGTAAGAGATCAACTGAAGGACTTGTATGAATGCATATAAGCATAACTAATGGACATAAGACACTGGGGAGTAAGGGAGGGCAGGGGATTGTCAAGGGCGGGGGTGGGGGAAGGACACATATGTAAAACCCTTTGTAATAAATATTATAATATTTAAAAAAAAAAAGAAGAGAAAAAAAAAAAAGAAATAATATTTGCGCCCCTAGCCTAATAGCTCAGTTGGTTAGAGCATCGTCCCAATACACCAAGGCTGCAGGTTCAATCCCCATTGGGGCACATACAAGAAGCAACCAATGAATGCATAAATAAGTGGAACAACAAAACGATGTCGCTCTCTCTAGACATCAATAAATAAAAAAATTTTAAAAATCTGCCTGCCAAAGCTGATAATGCTGGAGTCTTTAGAATGCAGATCACAGAGGATCTGGAGATAAAGAGAAGGGATTCAGGAATGGGAATACAAGAAAAGGCTGAATCATGTTGATTTTGTAGCATTTTTAGTTCTGCAAGAGTATTAAGGCCACAGGAGAGAAAATTAAGGCTGAACAGGAGAAGGGTTTCTATTGGTTTATTAGTAACAGTCCTTGAAAACACTGTTATTTACCCAGGTTCAAATACATTTTTACTTGAAGTGTGTAAGAATAAGACAGAAATAAATGGAGAAAGGCTGGACTGGCAGCCAGATCACTCACCTGAAATGGGCATCTCTCCCTTTCGGGTACTCCTGCCAGTCCTGCTCTGGGTTGCCTCAGTGGTTTCTCGTTCCTCTGGGGCTTCCTCCTCCATCACATCCTTGCCCTGCCCAGCTTCCTTAGCACCAGGCATAGGACTGGCCTCTCGGTGGGGGCTGCCACCCACCAACTCATGGGGCTCCTTGCTCTTGTAGGATTTGCTGTCATAGACCTGCGGAGATGGCCTTGTGGGTCAAGGGTCTCCTGACCCTCCTTTGTCTTAGGGGGCCAACCAAAGGAAGAAGCCCTGTTGGGATGCTCAGCAAGTCAATCAAGATGCACGCCTGCTTCAAGGATTTTAAATGCCCAGAATAGAGTATGGGATTCAACAACTCCTCTACCAAGGACTGTATTTTTGCTGCCAACCAGCTCTACTCTACCTAGAGAGCCAGCATTACCTTTAGGGTCTGTTTTCTTGACACAGGCTTACTTCATTAAAAAATAAAATCTATGAAGGAACTATTTGAACTAATTGATTTTTTTTTTCCAACTCCAAAAACTTTATCCACAGAATTCTCTTTAAAAAGTAAAATCTGCCAGACCAGTGTGGCTCAGTGGTTGAGCTTCGACCTAGGAACCAGGAGGTCACAATTCAATTCCTGGTCAAGGCACATGGCAAGGTTGCAGGCTCAATCCCCAGTAGGGGGCGTTGCAGGAGGGAGCCGATCACTGATTCTCTCTCATCATTGATGTTTCTCTCTCTTCCTCTCTCTTCCTCTCTGAAATCAATGAAAATATATTTTTAAAAAAGCAAAACCCACAATATATTTTTAAAAGATTCTGTTTGTATTCTATGTGTGCATACAAGGTTCACATTTGTGGTAGCAAACAATACCCCAACAGTAAGGCAAGCTGGAGGTTGACCTAGGTAGGCAGCTCTGACGCCTCTCGGTACAGTCCCTGCCCTCACCTTGCTGCTGCAGTGGCTGCAGTTTCTCCTTTTGCTCTTCTTCAGTTTGGAATCAGGACCTCCTTCATGGCATGCACAGGCACAGTCCTTGGCGCCATCTGGCCACTCAGTCTCCTAGGAGATATCTGGGCTTGGTTAGCTGCCAAGCACTTTGGTAGCAAGAGAGAAATAGCTTGCTGTGGCCCTGCCAATCCCATCCTCTCTCTTTTATTATATACCATCTTTATATTGCCTGAGGAAATCAATATCTAAACTCGATTAAAGCTTATTGTGAATCCCTAAAACAATTCTTAAATGACCCCAAAACTGACATATCCCAGTTGCCTAGATGGTTCAAGGGATATTTAAGTCAAATATAATCTGAGGCAAAGACACTGGAGAGCTCCAACATAAGATATGATCTACTCACTCATCTGTCTTTGTTTCTGTCTCCCTGTGCTTTGAGCTCTCCCCTCCCAATCATCTTGAGAGAGGCTTTGTACATATGGAAGGCTCACTCAATGATGCTATTTAATAAACCCAAGACATAAGTACCATATTTATTCCCGTTGATGATGAAAAAACTGAAGAGATATTAAATAAATTGCCCATGGTCACTCAGCTCCTATAAAGTTCTTCCCTAAGAAATAGTAAGAGACATGGAGTAAAGGGACATGAATTAAAAAGACTACTTCTTGCCCTAGTTGGTTAGGCTCAGTGGATAGAGCTTCGGCCTGCAGACTGAGGGTCCTGGGTTCGATTCTGGTGAAGGGAACATACCACAGTTGCAGGCTTCATCCCTGACCCTGGTCGAGCACATGTGGGAGACAACCAATCGATGTGTCTCTCTCACATCAATGTTCCTCTCTCACTGTCTCTCCCCCTCCCTTCCATTCTCTGAAAATCAATAGAAAAATATCCTGGGGTGAGGATTAAAAAAAAAAAAAGACTACTTCTTGCCCAGCTGGTGTTGCTCATTGGTTCACCCTCAACCCATGAACCAAGAGGTTACCAGTTCAATTCCTGGTCAGGGCAAGTGCTGGGTTGCAGGCTCAATCCCCAGTAGGGGGTGTGCGAGTGGCAGCCAATCAGTGATTCTAACTCTTTGTTCCTCTCCCTCTTTCTCTAAAAAAAAAAAAAAATCAATAAAAACATATTTTTAAAATAATAAAATAAAAAGACTACTTCTTGAAGAGCATTCGAGAGCAGTATGAGCAGGCTCTGGAGCTGGATTCCCTGGGTTCATATCCTAGCATTGCCACTTATTAAATATGAGACCCAGGCAATGGCCTCTCTCTGCACTTCAGTTTCCTCTTCTGTAAAATGCAAACAAGAGCAATCTCTTCATAGGATTATTGTGAGAATTAAATGAGTGAATAATCCATTGAAAATATTTCCAAGAGACATATATTTTGTAACACACCTAAGGACTAGCCATTATCATTATTAAAATGGGCAATCTTAGTTTTTCACATAAACAGAAAAGAAAAAGTTAAGACCCAAGGGCAAGAGAAATAGCTCTGAACTAGAAAGAAAATGGGAAACAGATTCTTCTAATGAAGCTCTCCAGAGTGGGGCCTCTTTAGCAACTGCACTGTTCTTCCCATGGGCTCTGCATGTCCACAGCAGCCTCAGATCCCGGAAGCTTTGCCAGAGAAACATTTAGGCAGAAACTCAAGTCTTGATTAATGAAAAATGGGCCATCTCCAACAACTTGATGTACCTTGTCATGATTCTGTACCCCAATCTCCTTTCTTCTTTTGTTCTTTGGGGCTGTGGGTATCTTGGGAGGTTCCTCTTCCTCTTCCACATCAGGCAGTGCCACTTCTTCAAAGCCATCAAACTGGGGAGAAGTTGGTGCCACTCAACATAGACTTGGGCAGATTACCCCTCCCACACAAGGCCTTCTCCCTTCACAACCCTAGTGCAGCCTCAGGGCTTTTACCTCATATTCCTTCTCTTCAGTCCAATTGATCTCTTCAAAGTCACCCATCCGGCTAGCTGCTGGGCGCAGATGGTCAAAGAAGATGGAGAACTCATCCTGCAGGTGGTCGTGGCCCTTGAGGAGATGCCACATCTGTGTCTTGAGCTAGGAAGAGGTGTAGAGGGAAAGATGAAATCCCCAGATCCTTCCTAGGCCATATTCCAAACCAGTCCCATATACTTCCAAGTTCTATTTTTCTCGTCAACTGGAAGACACACAGAAGCCTCTCTTTGATAGATAAAAGTTCTTGAATTTCCTCTCCCTCCTTGCTTGCCTACACAGGAGGAGTATTGACATTAAGTTTGATTCCTAATAACAACACTCTCTATCCTGCCCTCCTGATCTCCAGGTCAGGCATTAACCCAAGCAGAGCAATAAGCCTCTTCTGGGCCCATCATCACCTCCTTCCTTGAACCTCTTCCTTCCAGGGCACTGAGGGCATTCCTGAGCCTGGGAAGGTCAGTCAGGATCCGGTTTCAGGTGGCAATCAACCCCTATTCCAGTGTATTATGCTACAGACAAGCCTTAAAAAGTCCTTGCCTTCTTCATCTCCTCTAGAAGTGCATGGTACCCAGAAGCAAGAGGATATAGGCTAAGGTAGGGAAAGGGAGAAGGGAAGGGCCTAAGGCCTAGATAAAATGGGAAGGAAGGACAGGAAAAAATACCTCAGTAATCTCCTGGGGCAGGCAGTCTGCACAACTTTGGAGGACCTTGATAATCTTCTGGTGATGTGAGGGGTTTTCCGCAAAGCAAATTTCAAGCTGCCGGAGAAACTTGCGACTCTTCTCAAAAGCCTGCTGCTCCTCAAACTACCAGAGTGAAAAGAGAGCAAAAGAGGAGTCACCTATACAGCTAGAGCAGGATGTGAGGGTTCTAAGCTAAGAACCAGGACAAAATGGGTTGGGGGACTAGGGGATGGAAGGCTCCAGTTTACAACTGTGTGATCTTTTTAACGACCTCTAGCATCTATCCACCCCGGGTTACTGGGGTCTACTGGTCCAAGGTAACGATGATGTGAATGAAAGATTCAAGAGATGTACATATCTCAAGTTGTTCACTGTTTCATGCACTGTGAAATCAGACACTCAAACTGATGTAGCATTCAGTTTACGAAGAATTTTCACATATGCACTCATTTGATTCTCATAATACAGAAAGAGAAGATTGGCATGATATGTATAATCATTCCATTACCACTGAACTGCCTTAAGACTATCAGAAAATTCTCATTATATCCTTTATTCCTACCAGTCATGACAAAAAAATGAGAACTACCAGGATATCCCTCATGTTTAGATACTGGATCTCCAACATTTCAAATGTCATCTTATCACAGTGGCTCTCCCAACCTTCCATGTATAAAATTGCAACACCCTAACCCTCATCCATTTTACCTACTACTCTCTATTCCCCTTTTCTACTTTATTTTTCTATAGAGCATTACTATAAATCATTATATACCATATACTATTTATGTCTATTTTATAATTTTTATAATATACAGGGCAGGACAAAAGTAGGTTTATAGTTGTTCATATGAAAAATAATACAATAATTAACAAACAAATAATACAAGAATAAACTGTGTTTCACATACTCACAACTATAAACCTACATTTGCCATACTCTGTATATGTATTTACAATAATGTATTTCACTGTTTGTATGGTAAATGGGAACATGGGCCCTTTCCCAAGCTCCAACTCCCCTTCCCACCCTGTGGGAATATACAGAAGGCCTGTAAGTGGACAGTGAGACCTTCGGAGCCTGGCCAGCAATTCGGACTAAGAAAGGCCAGAGAGGAACTGCTTCCAGCTGTGAGCCCGGATTGCAAACAGCTAGTGTTTTGATTTCACACAGCTTGCTCTCGGGCATGACCCCTTCCCTGTGTGCCCCATTTTGCTTTGTTTTCTGTGCTCTAGGATAGAACCGTGTGCTGAGGAAGTCTGGGTGGTGGTTAGACAACAGCACCAGCTGGCTGCCCCCAGGGTGGCCTATCAGCAGGCCAGATGGGACCTGATGGAAAACATCACAGATGGAAGCCAGTGCACATGTCAAGTCCTAATCACAGCTAGTCCTCAGGGTTATTTCTTTGGAGTCCACAAATACCCTAAGGTTTTCTCAGACCTCAGCACTTTACATAACACTGTTTATCATATGACTTTCCCCATGAGAATGTAAACTCCATGAGGACAAGGATTTTTTTATAATTACTATAGTCGTAGTACCTAGGACTTTGCCTGACACATAGTAGGCACTCATTAAACATTTGTTCAACGAATGCCTGTTTTACAACAATGAGGAGCAATAGGCATATGATTTAACTAAGGGCTTCACTGGCAACTGAAGGTAAAACCCTCCTAGTCCCATGTAACGTACTTGGGAGAATGGAATTGGGAAGATCATTCTTGAAAAGGAGGCTCTTACCACCTTGTGCTAGGAAAAGGCTATCTGACTGGAAGTAGTCGGGAGACTGGAACAGTGTTAACCAACTCTCTATTCAAATCCAATCTCGCTCTGACCCAGGAATCCCATTGTGCTGTCTTTGCCCATCTACTCACTAATCCACAGGCCAGAGCTTGCTCGGGCAACAGGAAAGCAGCAAAGTCCTTCAACAGCTGAGGCCAGTCTTGGAGAAGAATTTTCAGGCTTTTGTAGAGATCCACAGCCGTCTGCCTCTGAGTACTTGACTCAAATTCATAGATAACCTGAAGGAAGTCCTCATACCTGCCAGGGATATGTTGCAGGGCTTCTCGTACCTGTACAGGAAGACTATCAGTCATCAGTACCCTTTCTTTGCGTTGCAACAGAAAAAGGCAATACCAAGAAAGGATGAGGAGTTACTGTTAGAGAGCTCTAAGAATTGTCCTTCCTCTAACAGGCCCTAAGATCCGACCATTAATGGAAGACAAAGAGCAAGGTACATACAGCTCCTTTTCTGCTAAGGGGCAACTGAAAAGCCATTTTCCCCACAAAACGAGGTAAGCTTTTTTTCTAGCTCACAGCCCTAGCCTCTATCCTTCCTGACTTCAGCTCCATACTGAAATAGATAAGTACTCCATCCCTATATTTCAGCATGGTATCATTTGAGGGTAACTAATACAAAATTAGGATTGTTAGTAAATATGAGGAGACAAGAAAGTCATGACTGGCACTGCTAGTACTCCACTTTGCTTGGGAGGGATAAAGGAACCAGATGGATAGCAAAAGAATGAGACCGCCAGCCAGGACAACCTCAAGGAGCAGGTTGGTTCCTCTCTCTGAAGCCCGGGTGCCTCTCTGAGATCCTCTCTCTGGCCGTGTACCAGAGGTCGGTCTGCACAAGCCAAGGGCTCAGTAAGGGTCCTACTTTAGCTGACCCAGGGAAGTCACCACCTCTTGCTGATGGTGATGGTGTCCATCTTTCCATTTCTAGGCAATAGAGGGATGATGCTAAGGTACTAACAGTAAACCTGCTTAAAACTGAATTCTATCTCCTTATGGTTCTCTCACAGATCTTTAGGTAATTCCAGGAGAGCAAAGGCAGAGGCATAGAAGGCTGTTGTGGAGCCTGAAAAGCAAACTTCATTTTAAAAACATCTTCCTTAAAGGAGTAGCCTCATTCAGAGGGAATGGCAGTACAGGAAGTAGCATTCGCCTACCCTAGTCAGATAAGCCTGAGCAAAGGCCAAATCCTTCTGCTCTCTGAGTGGATCCCGCTCGAGAATGTTCTCATCATACAGCAGCAGCAGTTTGGAGGTGTCCTTGCTGGCTCGGGCCCGACTGCCCCTCTTATTCCGAGCTCGATGATTGCTCCGGCCCTTTCCAGAAGCTTTGATGCTCTCTCCTTAGAGTACGTGAGAAAAAGAGTGTTTCTTCATCGCTGCAACCCCTACTGTTCCCATCCCACCACATGCGCCCACCCCATGCAAACCCTTTTAATGGTATGAAACAAATCAGGAGAAAAGCTGCTGGGAAAATGGCACGAGAGGCATGTCTGTCTCTGACAGGTCAGCTCTATGCAGAGTCAGCAGTCTTAAGAGTGAGTATGGCCTATGTCGAGCTCTCAAGGGACTATGTCTTGGTGAGGAATAAGCAGTGCTTTCTGAAATACAGTTTTAGCCTCATGCATGAAAGATGAATGAAGAACCAGTATAGCCTGGCTAGTGTGGCTCAATAGATTGAGCATCCTCCCGTGAACCAAGAGATCCTGGATTCAATTCCCAGTTAGGGCACATACTCGATCCCCAGTAGGGCGCGGGCAGGAGGCAGCGATCGATGTGTCTCTCATAGATGTTTCTATTTCTCTCTCCCTCTCCTTTCCTCTCTAAAAATCAATAAAAACGTATTTTTTAAAAAAAGAACCAGTATAAAAATTTAGATAAACCTGATACAAATCTAACAGCTGATGGGAATAAAATTTTAAATTTCTGAGCATCTCATCTGTAAAGGTACCAAGTTAAACTTCCGTTTTGGGGAAGGGAAGTTGCAGGGGTGACCCAGAGGTTTTTCTGAAGTCGACACCTGGCTTACAAGCGAGCCACTCTGCACACGTCTTTAGACAATGAGGCCAACTGAGACCTGCCCCTCATACAGGCTTGCCAAACTCACCTGCTGGGGTCCTGCTGGTCTCTTCTGGAGCAGTTTGGGGTGAGGCGAAGGTAGTGGGAGGTTTCTCAGCAAGGTCTCCTATGGCTTCATCTGTCATTCCATCCTCTTTCTGCAGGCTTTCCATTCCTTCTGCTTCTGCTTCTTCCTCCTCCTCTTCTTCAGGCTCAGAGTTCTCTTCCTGAGAGTTCTCTTCCTCAGACTCACCCTCCTGACTCATGCGCCTTTCAGATGCGAGCCAGGTCAGTTTCTCCATTGTTTCCTGCAACCCTCACCCCCCAAAGAGTGTTCGTAAGGGCTGGTAATGGCTCATCAAGTGCCAACTGCAGTTTTTCAAGAGGAACTGAGGTTAATCAATCAGAGTGTGTGCTCGCGCACGCATACATGGCAGGGGGACTTGTGGGGGTCACCAGAGGTTACCACAATTATCAGAGCCTGGTTCTCTGAGTTATGGAGTCATAGGTGTAGCTGGGATTGCTGCCTGACAGCTGACTGGGGGAGGGATGGGGGAGAGGTCCCCTCTACCCTGAAGACAGTTTTCCTTTGCCACAGTCCACACTTATGATCCATTTTTTAGGCATTTAAATGTGCTTAGGTAATTCAACGCAACATTTAAATGTGTTTAAGTCAAATCTAATGGGTCAAATTTCACCCTTTCCCTCTCCTCACTGCAAACCCAAAATTGTATTTCAAAAGGCAAATAAAAATGATTTTAGAAATATCTATAGTGCGGCAACCAAGGTGACCTACTGATATTACTGAGTCCACAAAACACTTGCGAATACTGCCGTCTCTCACCTGGAGCTCTGGGACAGACAGCACAGACTCCTCAGAAGCCGAGGACATCTCATCTTCCTCGTCCTGGGTGAGGTCATCGAAGTCCTCTTCCTCCTCTTCCTCGGGCCCATCCTTCTCTCCTCCCGTTTCTGGCCTCGCTGGGGTCCCTGCTAACTGACCATCGATGCTGAGTACGTCTTCCGGTTTCCCGGGGAGGCTGCTCGGCACCGTGTCAGGGTCAACGGAGGATGAAGCATTCTTTGGCGATTCTTTGCTCACATTTCCTGAGTTTCCTCCATCAGGAGGCTCTTGAGAAGCTGACGGGGTTTTCGCTAGTTGGTTCCTCTCCTCCTCCTTCTGTAAGACTGTCTGTTTCTTTGCTTCTCTTCCACCACTTGACTCCTCACTTGGGAAGCCAGTGTCCAATTCCACAGAGTACTCTTCTTTGACGTCATCATAAATGGTGTGCTTCGGGGATGCCCGGGGGACTTCCTCCCCAGGATCGTTAGGTTCCATCTTGACAATTTTCTCTGCATTTTCAGGAGGAGAGCTTAGAGATTCTTGGAAGCCCTGAGGCAGTGGTTCCACAACTTGCCTCCCCTCCTCTGTTTTCACAACAGTCCAGATATAGGCACTGTTTTCTGACAAGTCTTCCGGGCACACTCCGTCTGATGGTAGAGGTCCTGGGCTGTGCTCCTTTTTGGGGAAGACAGGGGCACAGAGAGGAGATAGGTCCTGGGGTTCTAATTTGGGTACCAGGCCTGGAAAGGCATTTTTCCCTTCATCCAAAGGACAACCAACATCCATACTCACTTGGGCCTTCTCTTCAGAGGCGGACTGTACAGGAAGATTCACAGAGTTGCCAGAAACAATTAAGGGTGGGATGGAGGAGGCTACAAGGGGCTGGTTCAATGGACACGGGAAGGAAGTAGGGTTAACCAGGAGTGTGGTGATGGGAAGGGCCTGAGAGCTCGGGGCCACAGTCGCATTGACAGGCTGAATCATGTTGCAGCCACTGCCAAGGCTCACAACCTTCACAGTGGCGGCAGGAACAGTGAAGATAACAGGTGCAGAGTTGATGAGGGGGACAGACTTCAGACAGAGAGAGGCCTTGGTCCCCTTTTTCTTTGGGCCTCTCCGTTTCACATATGGCTTTCGGAACTTAGAAGGGGCAAGTGAGGGCAGCATTATCTTGGGCACAGGAGCAGAGGAGAACAAGGTCTGGGGCTCGGACAGAGGGAAGCTGGTCCTGGCCTCGGGTGGTATAGTAGGCAATACTGTTGAGGACTCAAAACTATCACCTCCAGTGACCCTCAGTTGAGGGACAGCTGGCACCGTCTGTAAGACGGTGGCTGGCTGGATCGTTTGAGGAATCCGGACCACCATTTTGCTTGGAGGGGCTTCTGACTGAGTTGACCTAGGCGGTATTTTCCCAGAATTGAAGGTAGGCTGGAGAGAGGGGCTGGGTCTGATAAGGAGGGGCTTCAAGGTTGATGACCGCTTCTGTCTCCAGCCCTTCCTGGAAAAACAGTTGGCAACCGGCTTCAGTTTCAGGACCACGCCCTTAGGCAGGAGCAGCGGGTACCGAGTCTCACTCTCCAATTCCAAGCTGGTTTTTCCTACATCTGGGTCCGGCTTGATCTCAGTGGTGCCAGTCACATTTCCTGCCTCTCTGGCACCATCAGCTATGTGCTGCATTTCCTCCTGGATGGATGGCAGACTGGCCTATTGGGAACAAAAACACTCTGATCTAGCAGATGTCAGAATTTGGTAAAAAATAAAATAGGGTTTTCTAGATTTTAGGAACTTTGTCAGGACAGTCTCAAGGTAATCTTTTCAAGAAGGATTTTTCTGCACAATATAAAATTTCTACAAAGACTACATTCCTACTGCATACTCTAGAAACTCTTCTCTGAGTTTCCTACAGGAAACTATCATTGTACCCACCTGGGGGGAGGGGAGAGGAAGGAGAGAAGGACGAATGAGGAAGATTTCTTAAATCCTGGTTCTACAACTAAAGCATTAGAGGTGTAAAGTGGAACTGATGTTTCTGCCAGGTTTTTAGTGACCTGCTGGCCCTGGTCCTGGAAGAGGAGGGCTTACCTTTAACCAGAATGGAAGCCGGTGTTCTTCCCTCTCTACAGGTGGCTTCCACTGATGTGGCTGGATCTCTTCACAGCACTTCCCGAAGACGGGCAGCTGTTTGGTCTTCTTGTAAAACTGAGCATGAAGAAATGAAGCATGAGTTGTATTTCTTTCAGAAACATTGCCCTCTGTCAGGGTGAGGAGTGCGGTGGGCAGTGGTTTGACTGACACAAACATACACACACACACAGGTACACATCCATATATACATCTATATAAACAGCATGTGCTGAATGCTTCTGCATTTAAAATTAAACTAATCTCTAATTAATAAAGATTTTACAATTATTCAATGTCTTTTAACTGATCATCTCTATTCAGCTCACCAGGAAGGGAAAAGTTTAGGTCACTGAGAAAAGGAAGCAGATGGTCAGAGAAATCTTATTTAAAATTTGCTCCTACACAACATCTGCCTTAACCCTCATCCTGGATATATGGAAGCTTCTTTTTTTTTTTTTTTTTTAAGCAAATAATGGCGAAAGAACATTAGAAGGGAAGGGAAAGAACAGAAAGACTGAGACAGTGAGGTTTTAAGCATAAATGAAGATGGAAATTGAACTTGCAATGACAATAAGCACCCATTCATTCACATTTGCAGAATGCCTTCTATGTGCTGGGTACTGTGCTACTAGCTAAGCATACAAAATAAGAGAAGCAATTCCTGCTCTCAAGGAGCTTACAGATTAGTGGGAGAAACAGTCAAGTAGACCAATAATGACATTCTGTGTAAAAAAGTACAAAGATGTACAGTTATACAAAAAATGACACATAACTTCAAACTTGAACAGTATTTTTCTGGAGCAGGTGCAACTGGTATAGATGAATCTTAATGGAATGGAGTTTGCTACATGAGGCAGGAGAGGGCAGAGTATACTTCATGTTCAAATCATGAACATGTTTAAGGAACCACAAGGAGAAAACTACTGCATTAATCTAATGTAACAAAGTCCTGAACAAAGGCAGTGGGCAACTGAGTAGGAAATAAAGTAAGAAAACTGAGGCTGTGATGACAGGTAGACATGGTAGTGATCAAGCAGGAAGAATTGAGAACACTTCCCAGGTTTATGGACTGAGACATTCATGTCATACACATACACACAGACCACAGAGGGGGTAAGTTGGGGAGGAGAGTTTGCTGTTATTGGTGGTGACAGTGGCACAACTGGAGGGTACAGAGGGAGAGACAGAAGTTCTATTTGAGGAGTCAGTGAGGAGTGAGGCAACCAAGTTAAGAATTCCTTTAAGCAGTTGGCTACACTAGGTCAGAGCTCAGGAGAGAACTGGACCAAAGACACAAATTTGAAAATCATGAGACCATTAATCCAATTTACTGTGGAACACTAATATTTAAGGACAGAGCAGGAGAAGAAGAGTTCATGAAGGAGCAGCCTGCGTAAGAGTCCTGGTATCACAGAGCATAAGAGAATAGGGAGTTTAAGGAAGGAATGAGTGAACAGCACTACAAAGTTTAAGAGGAGAAGAAGAGAAAAGTATCTACTGGATAGCCAACTGGGAGATAATTCAACATCTTTGCAGGAATAATATCCACACATTCATAGGTTAAAGAGTTAAGGAGAAACCTATTGTTAAAACCATTTAAACCATCCACTTGTCTTTGTTCCCTTTTAAAACCCCATGAAAACAACAGAAAGGAATTTCTTACAGGTAAAAGCCTACAAGGAGAGAGAGAATGAGAGAAAATGATAACAGCAAAATTTTCAAGGCTAAAAAGCAGATGGAGCCCTGGCTGGTTTGGCTCAGTGGATAGAGTGTCAGCCCCAGACTGAAGGGTCTTGGGTTTGATTCCGGTCAAGGGCACATACCTCGGTTGCAGGCTCGATCCCTGGCCCAGGGACTATACGGGAAGCAACCAACCGATGTGTCTTGTTCACATCCATGTTTCTCTCTTTCTGTCTCTCTCCTTCCCTTCCACTCTCAAATAAAAATCAATGGGAAAAATATCCTCAGGTGAGGATTAACAACAACAAAAGCAGATGGATGAATACTGAACACACGAGTTTCCAAACTAAGACATAGGAAAATGAAGAAAACCAAATCCCATGTGGAGGAGAGTTCACAGCCAACAACATTTATGTCAGAGTCTAGCAAAAGGAAAAGACACCACCTACTTCTTGAATTGGAGGAAAAGCTACAACTCAAATTAGGTAAAGATGAAGAGGACAGATTAAATCTGTTGGAGAGGCAGTCAAACCCCCATCCCCTCTCCCATGGTGTGTAGTCAGGTGAAAGCCTCCCCTGCCCTGGCAGGAGGATTTCTGGAAACGATGATCTCTGGACCAAGCCATCGGGCATAAGTGAGGGCTGGGGTACTTTGCTTAACAAATACAGAAATTCCAGCCTTCTTCCTCTCCTGCTTGCCCACTGTCCCTCTGCCATTCACTATTTTAAAGTATTTAATGAAACTAGACCCAAACTAAGGAGTATTATTATGAAATTTCAAACCAGTAAAGAAGAGGAAATATCTCACATCTCTGCACCTATCTCTTCTTTTAGTTGTGAATTCTTTCACAGCCTGAGTCACCAGCCAAAGCCCTAACAAGTCCCAGGTAGAGCCTGCAGGAAACACTTACTTTGAAAATATTGTCAGGAGCTCTGTTCATGCTGCGGTTCTTGATTCTCACTGTCAGTTGGTGGGCAGTTTTGCAAGTTAGAAGGTACTTGCTGATTAGAGGCTTAGGAAACTCAGTCCCTTCAAAGTGCTTTAGTCCTAAAACTAACAAACTGAGAAAGGAACAATGTCAGAAAATGCCACTTTACAATCCATTCTTCTAAAAAGGCTCCCCAGACTAACTCCACATTTTACAATCCACTTTTTCTACATCTAATTCTTATATAAGTTTGTGGCTACTCAACAAAAAATTTCAGATGTTTACTGAGTGCTAATAAGTACAATGAGTAAGACTCAATCAGAAGTTCACAACCGGGTGGGAAGAGGAAAACCTAAGCGTAAATCACTAATGAATGTCAGAACATGTGAGTTTTCATGCTTTGTATTCCTTTGAACTTTGTATTCAAAGGAAGGAGGATGGCTGTAATAAAACAAATATTAAAAAAACAATGGGCACCATGCTAAGTATATGAAATCAACACCAACACTACCTCCCATCATAACATAATTTATTATGGTTACCTGTGTACATATTTACTGATGGCAATACACATCAAGAGCCATAAAAATATTCCTAGCCTTTATCGAATAATCTCACTCTTGGGAATTTACCGAAAGGGATGAACACCAAAGATTTTCAAAAGCTCTACGTACAGCCCAGCCAATGTGGCTCAGCTGGCTAAGTGTTGTCCTGTGCACAGAAAGGCTGCCAGTTCAGGTCAGGTCAGGGCACATACCTGGGTTGAGTTTGATCCCTGGTTGGGGCAGGTACAGAAGGCAACTGGCAACCGATTGATGTTTCTCTCTCACATAGATTCGTTTGTGTTTTCTCTCTTTCTTTCTCTTTCCCTCTCCCCCCCCTGCCCCCCCTTCCTCTCTCTAAGCATGTCCTCAGGTGAGCTTTAAAAAAAAAAAGCTCTATGTGTACAAAGATCTTTGGTGAAGCCTCACTCACAACTGCAAAACAGCAGAAGGGGGAAAAATAGCAAATAAAAGAAATATCACAGGGCCATTAAATATTGCTTTAAAGGACAATATACAGAAACAATAAAAAAGAACAATGTTGCCCTAACCGATTTGGCTCAGTGGATAGAGCGTCGGCCTGCGGACTGAAAGGTCCCAGGTTTGATTCCGGTCAAGGGCATGTACCCTGGTTGCGGGCACATCCCCAGTAAGAGGTGTGCAGGAGGCAGCTGATCAATGTTTCTCTCGCACTGATGTTTCTACCTCTCTATCCCTCTCCCTTCCTCTCTGTAAAAAATCAATAAAATAAAAAATAAAAGAAGACCTGATACTGGAATATTAAAAAAAAAAAAGAACAATGTTACAGCAAATAGAAAAACAATTTCAAAAAGATGTTAGGTTAGCCTTGGCCAGTGTTCTCAGGGGTTAGAGTGTAAAGTGTTGACCTACACACCTAAGGGTCGTGGGTTCAATTCCTGGTCAAGGGCACGTACCTGGATTGCAGATGTGATCCCCGGCCCCCCGTTGGGGCTCATATGGGAGGCAACCAATCAATGTGTCTCTCTCACATCAATGTTTCTCTTTCTCCCCCTCCCCACCTCCCTTCCAATCTCTAGAAATCAATGGAAAAAAATATCCTTGGATGAGGATTAACAAAACAACAACAACAAAAAGACATTAAGTTAAAAAAAGGCAAAAAGTATATGTATTTAAATGGCCAATAATTACCAGGTATATAAGAAATGCAAGAGAAAAATCATTATCTTGGGGTGGTTAGAATAGGGGATAAAATTTTTTTTCCTTTACTAAGTTCCCCCTAATAGTACATATTACAAGATTGTTTTTTACAACCAATAAAAGACAAAACATAATTTAAAATGTTTGGAAAATGTGCATGTCATCCCCCAAAAAGAACAGTATTTGGCAATGCTGAAACGAGCACATATTATAGAACCTTATACGTAACAATCAACACTGCTTTTCTTTGTCTTTTGTGTCCGTATCTCATACAGGCCTTATTTCCCTAAGCTCCTTAAGAAAAAAGAACTAGACCTTCTCTTCCGGATATTCTGTGCTCACCCCTCCACAATAAACCCTTACTTGTCCTCAGCCTTGGTGAATGAATTCTTATCCTGGGGATTCTTTGCCTTCAGGGAACACACTGGAAGTAGCTCTGGATACATGAAAACCTTGCTTGTGGCCAGGATCCAAGCCACTTGCTTTGGTAAACAGGGAAATTTACAGGCTGTAAGAAAAAAAAACAAAAAAACAACAAATTAAATTCTAGAACAAAGAGGACTTTATAGAAGTTTCTGATTGCATTTTTGCATTTAGATAGAGCTGTCCCTACCTAACTTAATCCCCTCCAAATCCAAACAACTCTCCCCACAAAAGTTTCCACAACTTTCTGAGCCTAACATACACCTCATGGGAATCCCATTCAATGTTACTAAGAGTTGATTTTCTTATTCTTTCCTATGTGGAACACTTAACACACTAAGTAACATAAATACTTAGAAAGTACCTACTAATACCTGGCACACCGTGTACGCTAAAAATATTTTTACCTCCTTCCCCCTTAAAATCCTTGAAAGATAAATGACCTTCAACAATGCTTTCTTTCTTCCAGGATAAGATTTCAACTTCTTAAATGTCCTTCCCAAATCTGGTATTCCAAATTCCAAATTTTATTTCATTCTTACTTAACTTTCATTAAGTTTCTCCCAGATTCCTCTTGAGGTTGGGAATTAAAAAGAAAAAACAACATAAGGGGAATGAGATGACACAGTCCCATTCATTTCTGTCTTGCTGTCCGTCTCTCAATTCCAGGCATTTTTCTGCCTTTCCAGAGGTAAGAACTACTATAGCCATACTTCTCCTTCCACATGTGTTTTTATATCACCAGAAAAAAAAGCACAGGACACTATATCTATTAGTCATTACTGTAGTTTGGTGTTAAATTAAGTTTTCAGTACCAACATATAGCTAATAAAGTAGTTTGAGATCAGTGTCCATGACCTAATGAACTTAAATTCAACTATATTCAATTTAACTGTAAGAGTCATGGATTTAAAATCAAATCCAAAGACAAACCTAAATCCAGACCAAACCACGACTAATTTGCTAAACCAGGAAACAAATCAAAAGCAAATATTTATAGAGTATATGGTGCTGCTTCTTTCTGATGAGATACCAAATGGTGGATGACACTGGTGCTACAGGAGGGCCCGGAGGACCCAGGGGCCCCGTAATGGGAGGCTGCAGCTGCTTCTGAGGAGGGTTTGGCAGCGGCATCTAGGGCCAAGGTCAAGGCTGAACTCTCAGAGGCAAGGCCAAGGACAAGGAGTCCTCCCAGTCACCAAGCTGGGCTGCCTGGTTAAGGACATGAAGACCAAGTCCCTGGATGAGATCTAGCTCTTCTCCCTGCCCATCAAGGAATCTGAAATTATTGACTTTTTCCTGGGGGCATTCCATAAAGATGAGGTTTTGGAGATTATGCCTGTGTGAAGGCAGACACGTGCTGGCCAGAGGACCTGGTTCAAGGTATTTGTTGCCACAATAGACACGTTGGTCTGGGTGTTAAGTATTCAAACAAAATAGCCAGTGTCCCCTACCCGTCTTGACAGTTTTGCGAGGACTCCAATCAATGCTGACATGTGTGTTGAAATCTTCAATGAGCTTCATGGCTCCAGTCAGGTTACAGGGTTGGAACAAGGTCTGAAACTTAGGGTTGAACTGATGGTGAAGAGCGATGGAGCTTTGAGCAAAGGTTCCCAGCTCTTCCTGGGAAAACAGGGCACAAAGGAGATTTAAGTTCCAGGCCATTATCATCAGTAGCCCTTAGCCTCTGTGTGAAAAACTGTCCTTCCTATTACAGGATTAAAACAGGTAAAAAAATCATCCTAAACTCTTTCACAATCAACATTACCTCTTTAAGACTGCAAGTCAGAGCAATACTCTTAAGAAAACTGAATACACTCTCTGCCCTTTCATGAAGATCAGTGATTTATGTTCTTTCAGCAAAGATAGGAAGACATAGGAATAGCTACCCAAACATGCAGGAGAGAAGAAGAAATATAGATTCTGGTGGGTGAATATCTGTGAGAAATGACTTGCCAAGGTAACTGTATACTCAATCTTTAGAGTTAGGGATATTTGGAACCTTACAAGAAATATCCTGGTAGTACTGGCCTCCGAGTTGAGATTGGGGTTGGAGGTGGAGAGAAGGTGAATTTGCGTCAAGAGCTGAACATGCTGGGGAGGGAAAGAAAACAATACAGTGACGTGTTATGATGCCATTTCCGGAACCCAGAAGATCTGGTCAAGATATTTGCAACTTTATTACACATCTTTTGCTTTCTCGATACTCTACGAGTACAACATTAGTATGAATTCTACAGATATGTTCCCCTTGAACAAAATGATAGAATCAGAGAAGTTTAACCTCAAACCAGAGAAACTGAGATTAGAAAGAAGAAAAAACTATTCTGGCCCTACGGCTGTTAAATTCAGAATGGATTACTCAGGATTCTTTGAAATCTGTAATTCTGAATATTATCAACATACTTACATGCATTCTTGCCTGAGCCATGATGACTCATGAACGTAAGTTCTCAGGGCCTAGCTGATGTGAAGATCCTGTGGTCCTATGATTTCAAAGGGTGTCAAGACACCTTTCTGACTTTTACAGAGCTGCTAATTTTGGCTCCAGGTCAAGCCATGGGATGATCCAACAGTAACGTTACCAAGAAGAGCCTTACCTGCTGCATCTGCTGCTGGAGTCTCTTCCTCTGGGCTGGGTCTAGAATCAGAGTCTGAGGAACTTTCTCGGTCTGGGGCTTAACCTTTTCTACTTCCTGCTGCTGTTTGGCTGAAGCTTTCCTCAACTTCAGCTGCTCAAGGAGCTCCTTCATTGTACGATGCTGCTCATTTAGCAAGTTGGCCAGTGGTTCCTCAAACCTACCCCCAACAGGGAGACAACTGAATGTGAACAATTCCCTAGGTCCACAACACATCCAGTTCCTGCTAATAGTGGTCTAAGAGAATCTGCATACATTCTATCTACTAATAATTCCTAAATCCCACTTTAGCCAATAAGCAAAACTCCTAGTCTATCCAAATCTTTTCCCAAAGTTGTTAACATAGATTCAAATAAGATGGTTCTGAATTGTACCACATCCCCATTTTTTTACAATCAGTCCTCTAAGTAATCCTATATAATAAAAGCCTAATATGCTAAGTGTCTGACCATTCGACTAGTCACTATGACACGCACTGACCACCAGGGGACAGACGCTCCAACCAGTAGGTTAGTTTGCTGCTGGGATCCGGCCAATCGGGACTGGGTGCAAAGGGCCTGACACACCCTGGACGAATCCGTGCCCTGGGCCAGTTTCGGCCCAATCCCTGCAGGCCAGGCCGAGGGACCCCACCGGTGTACAAATCTGTGCACTGGGCCTCTAGTATACAAATAAAAGGGAAGGAGCAGAGAAACATCAGGATAACAAAGCAGTCAAGGCACAAATGGAAACTTATCATTCCAATATCATACTGATATGCACATTAATCTGGAACTTGTTCTTTTTTTTTTTTTAAATATATTTTATTGATTTTTTTTTACAGAGAGGAAGGAAGAGAGATAGTTAGAAACATCGATCAGCTGCCTCCTGCACACTGAGGATGTGCCTGCAACCAAGGTACATGCTCCTGACTGGAATCGAACCCGGGACCCTTGAGTCCACAAGCCGACGCTCTATCCACTGAGCCAAACCGGCTACGGCTGGAACTTGTTCTTAACAATTATATAAAATCTTCTCAAAGTACAGCATAAATTCTGATTTACCCATTACTCCAATCCCTGATCTAGCTTCTCCCATTCCGCTCTTGTTCTGGCACTGCTTTTGTTTCTTAAAAATTCAAAGACCTTCAGGCATGAAGCAACAAGGAATATACTAAAATACATGGCAGTTTAACTGACCTGGTGAATATGGCTTGCCACACCCTGGTAACTCCCTGAAACCCCATCCGGGTGTGACAAAGGGCTGCTGGAAAACCAGGTCTCCTCAAAAATGGCCTGCCTACAGACTCACTCGCTTACAAATACTCACTTTAAGCTGAAGCCTAGAGACAGCAGCTCGATCGGCGCCAGAGATATACCAGGAACAAACTGAATTGTATGGCTTCATGGCAAGCGCACCACTGTCCCTGTGTCGAGACCTCCCTGCACACAGCTGGCAGATGCAGGTGGGTGCCAAATCTGAATCTACATTTACCTGATGAACACCATTAGCACCAGCAGGTGACACCGAGACCCCGCTCCACTCAACTCGCACACTGTCAGTAACACCTCCATAAAGCTCAAAGGGGAAATCCTGAGATCCTTGTTAGAGTTTCATTATGGAATTTATTGTAATGGAGTACGACTAGTATTTCTAGCTTTTACACATTGGTTAGTATACTTTGTTGTCTTCACTAAATTGTAAGTTCCCTTAAAGACTACTACCTTTCAAATGGATCCCAGGCTCTCTAGTTAGGTAATGCTGTTCGGTTCAAACACAGGACTAATTAGAAGCTGTGGATCTCTAAGTTTTGCTTTATTCCACCCATGGAATAAACCCCATCCTGACTTCTGTTTCTACTCAGAATGAGTAACAATAGTGTACAGATAGATTATGCAAACCCATCGCCAAAATAGGGAAAAAAATGAAAGCCTCTACTTTCTGGGTGGAGCAACAGAAGTGCTAACTTTATGTGAAGAGGGCAGTACATACATTTCAGACCCTAGGGCATTATTACAGGTGCTTCATGGTTTGCTCAATTAATGCCTAGGTAATTAACAAACATTCATTAACATTTACCAGATGTTAACGGCAAATGAAGTGAACAAAAGGGACATGATGGCTATGACAATTTGGGGTAGTTTTTGTGGCTGGCCACATAGTCCTACATACCTCTCCAGCACCTCTCACCTGGAGAAGTTGCCATGGATGCCAGCTACTGTTTTTTCTCCCTTCCCAAACAGATACAGCTTGGTCTATAGCTGCACTGCCCCATCATAAGGAGACTTATTCACCTGACAGCTAACACCCCCCGAGGGCTGGGGAATTAACTGAAATTGCTGAAAACCTTTTCAGAAGACATTTTTTTCTCTATTTTGTTTCAATGACTTTGACAGGCCTACCGTAGGGCTTGAGGAGTATTAAAGTTAGGTCGAGGCTCAGCCACACGCTCCTCCTCCTCCGGGCCATCATCTTCCATGCTGGGGAATCCCATCTCATCTTGGAACTGAGGAAAAGGAAAAGGAGCGATTTCCTGGGGAACGGGCATGTGAAGTCACTGCAGCAGTGAGAAGGGAAATTAATCACTACCGCTTACAGGATAATGCTGGCACTCAGAAAGAGCTTGCATCAGAGTATTTTTCTCACTTGAGGACTTCCACAGTCCTGCACATGGGATGACTCCACTATTACCCTAGGGGAAAAAAATCTCTCAACTGGTCAGTGTGTACAGCTAAGGACAGAGCATGGATAACTCACAGTGATCATAACTATCTTTCACGAGACAAATTTATGAGCAAGGTAACTGTGTGATTTAGAATAATCTAAAACTAGTATGCAATCTTTAAGGATGCACCAAATGATGGTTGGGAAGGCCTTCCAAAGTTTGCAAGTAAAGTTTACTAAGAATTATCTATATATGGATAACCAAAGTTTGTTAGTTACCAATATTCTCCTGCCATTATATACTCTCCTGGGTGGGCTAAAGGGGGAACTGGCTTTGTATGAATGCCATTCTGGAGGCAGGGGCCCTGGGACCAAAAAGACAGAGCTTGCTGAAGAATCCACTTTTACCATCCTGAATTCATACTCAAGGATCATTACTCACAGTTTCAAACAGTTCTTCCATCAATCCATTCACTTCCTTTTCTGCAAGAAAACCCAAACACTATGTTGTGAGCACAAGTTAATTTCATCAGAGGGAATTCCAAGAAAACAATGTATGTTATTTTCAGCAAGGCATTTGACAAAATCCTCATATATATCTAATATTCATTATTCAAAAACATTTACTGAATACCAACTATGCCTCAATCCTGTTCTAGATACTTGGAATACATGAGAGAACTAAATAGCCTTATTCTTGTGAAGCCAGAGTAGCTCAGTGGTTGAGTTTCGACCTATGAACCAGGAGGTCACAGTTCAATTCCCGGTCAGGACATATGCCATGGTTGCTGGCTCAATTCCCAGTAGGGGACATGCAGGAGGCAGCCAATCAATGATTCTCTCTCATCATTGATGTATCTATCTCTCCCTCTTCCTTCCTCTCTGAAATAAATAAAATATTCTTTAAAATATTTATATAAAAAAACAGTAATAAAAATTGTCCTGATGAGGTCTCAGGACCAATAGTGGGTGTTTAATGCATACAATAAAAATCAATAATTTCTGCCCTGACCGGTTTGGCTCAGTGGATGGAGCGTCGGCCTGCGGACTGAAGGGTCCCAGGATCGGTTCCGGTCAAGGGCATGTACCTTGGTTGCGGGCAACATCCCCAGTGGAGGGTGTGCAGGAGGCAGCTGATTGATGTTTCTCTCTCTTCGATGTTTCTGACTCTCTATCCCTCTCCCTCCTCTCTGTAAAAAATCAATAAAATATATTTTAAAAAATCAATAATTTCTGAAATATGTTTTTCATCACTGGCAATGAAGTAATTTTTCAAACAAATGACTCAAGTCAAGTGATGTGCTTTGCATCCTCTAATCTTGTTCTCTTTATATTAAACTGGTATTTAATCAAAATGGTATTTCTAAAATCCAAATAAGTTCCTATTGATTTCCTACTTAAAACTCTTTGAGCTCTCTCTCCTTTTTGAGAAATCAAAACTCAAATTCAAGGTTCTCAAATTCAAGTTCTGAACACTGATTATCCTTTTCTACCACCACTCACTCACACAACTATACCAACTACTTACTATTTTCCCAACACACTTATTATTGTTTCACAATTCTGCTGTTTATAGATGCTCTTATATTTATAATATCCTTCTCTGCCCCCATTTGCCATAAATTTCCTATTCCTCCTTCAAAACTAGGATAAAAAAAAAACACCTCATCTTGTGAATCCTTCCCTAAGCCCTCCCACCCTAATTTCATACCATACACTAGATTATACCCTCTTTTAGGCCACTAGCATACTTTATACACAACTTATTATAGCACCTATTACTTTGTATTATAATGTTTTCTTTAAATATATTTTTATTGATTTCAGAGAGGAAGGGAGAGGGAGACAGAGATAGAAACATCAATGATGAGAGAGAATCATTGATTAGCTGCCTCCTGCACACCCCCTACTGGGGATCAAGTCTGCAACCCAGGTACCTGCCCCTGACCGGAATTGAACCTGGGACCCTTCAGTCCACAGGCTGATGCTCTATCCACTGAGCCAAATCGACTAGGGCTATTATAATGTTTTCTGTTTGTATCCCCTACTAAACTGTCACCCTGTAAGACACAGCCATGTTTTATTGATTATGGTATCCTAAGTATAATCCCTGCCAAATACTGGACTCAATACATAACTGTGGGATGTGTAAATGAACGACTGATAGGCTTTCTGAATATATACCTACATTTAAAGATTTATAGAAATAGGATAGAGGAAGCTTAAATGTCTTAGATTAAATGGAGTGTAAACTTTACCCTCAAAAATATACAAAGTGAACAAATGTAGATAGGACAGTCAAGAGCAGGACCCATAGTAAACACAGACTCACTGGTGATTCTCACTGCCCGGTCGGTGCGGAAATCCTCTGTGTCTGGTTCGTCACGGTCTTCCAGGAAATTATATTCTGGATCGTCATCATCATCCGCCTCATCTAGAAAACACAAAGTTTCAGACACTCATTCTCAACTCTCAACTCTTTAGTGACAATGTAAGATATTCAGCACTATGAGAATCTGTTCCAATAAAGTACATTTATCCTTAAGTTTTTAAATAATTTTTTTCCCTCTATGCCTTTGCACAGATCACTTCCTATAGCTGACTCATCTCACCTATTCTCTCCAATAAGCCAAATTTCTTCCATCCTCCAAACAAGACTTAAATCTGTCAAAATGCAACAAAAGCCAGAAAACTCTACATATAATTTATCTCAAGAATCTCACTTTGATTAGTGCATATCTTATGAAAATAATACTTTTGTTAAACTCATGAAGGCATTGATAGTGAAAAAAGGAATAAATCTAATTCCCCAAAATTAGGAAATGACTATAATACAAAATGCAAAGATGCAACATTCTATAAAAATTCAATATATACATGACAAAAAACACAATATAAAAACATATAATAATCATTGTTTCAAAAATTATATCCCTATATTAGGACTCAAAAATAACTAAAAATACACAAATATAATAAGCATTTGTTATGTTAGGACATAGAAATGTGGTTGTGTTTCTCCCTAATAATTTTCTCTGATATCTTCCCCATTTCTCAATAAAAATTGTTCGCCCAGCCGGTATGGCTCAGTGCTTGAGCACTGACATATGAACCAGGAGGTTAGAAAGAAGTCACTGAATTATTGTTATATTATGGTAATATTTTTCTGAGACTTTATTATTTTTTAATTATTTATTTTAAAATATTTTTATTGATTTCAAAGAGGAAGGGAAAGGGAGAGATAGAAACCTCAATGATGACAGAGAATCACTGATTGGCTGCCTCCTGCATGCCCCCTACTGGGAATCAAGCCTGACAGGCATGTGCCCTCACTGGGAATCAAACCGTGACCTCCTGGTTCATAGGTTTTCGCTTAATCACTGACCCACACTGGCCGGGTCCTGGGACAACTTTAGATCAGTGATGTCCAAGAGAACTTTCTACAATGATGAAAACATTTTACATATGCATTGTACAATAATAGTAGCCACTAGCCATGTGCGGAAATTGAGAACTTGAAATGTGGCTAGTGCAACGGAGGAACTGAATTTTTTCCCCCAATATATCTTTATTGATTTCAGAGAGGAAGGGAGAGGGAGAGAGAGATAGAAACATCATGGATGAGACAGAATCATTGATTGGCTGCCTCCTGCACATCCCTTACTGGGGAACAAGCCCCCAGCGCAGGCATGTGTCCTTGACCGGAATCAAACCTGAGACCCTTCAGTCCACAAGCTGACACTCTATGCCAGTGGTTCTCAACCTTCCTAATGCCGCGACCCTTTAATACAGTTCCTCATGTTGTGGTGACCCCCAACCATAAAATTATTTTCGTTGCTACTTCATAACTGTAATTTTGCTACTGTTATGAATCGTAATGTAAATATCTAATATGCAGGATGTATTTTCATTGTTCGCGACCCACAGGTTGAGAACCGCTGCTCTATGCACTGAGCCAAACCAGCTAAGGCAGGAACTGAATTTTTTTTAAAATCTACCAAATGAGAAAACTAAATTCCTTACTACTGCTTAGCCATTAAGCAAGAGAGGAAGATGTCTATGTATTACAATGGAAATAGATCTAACTTAATTAAGTGAAAGAAACAAAGCTTCAGAGGCAGAACAATATGTGCAGTATGATTCCTTTTGTGGAAAAAAAATATTTGAGATAAATATGTGCTTGATTAAATACACAGAAAATATCTAGAAAGTATTAACAAAGATTGAAGAATAGAACTCTTTACTTTGTACCCTTTCACGATTTAGTTTTTCATAATAAAATCTTTCATTAAAAATAAAAATATATACACATTTTTGGTCCATAATCATTGAAAAGTCTGTACTGATTAAACTTCATCTAACCTATATTCTTTACTCAATATTAATACCAGTTTATAAAATATTAAGTTGCATTGTTTGTACATAGTTATTTGAATGTCAAATCTTTTTCATGCATTTGTGGGTTTATCTCCCCAATAATATTTCTTTAATCCTTGGAATGGAATTCTGTCTTCCTAATCTCTACAGTCCTTTTTTCATAAGTCTCTTCACAGCAGATCCTTTTCCAACATTGCTGAATAATGAAAGCACTGAAAGAACCTATAACAAACGGATATTATATTAATGTTTGCACACCCATCTGGTTTGGGTGCAAGAACTGCAATAGGCAACTTCTACCTACACCACACAAATGGGTCAGCCAATGTTCTCAGAATACCTATTTGACAAACATGTTGAAAAATCAATGAAAAACATATCCTTGGGTAAAGATTAAAAAAAGAGACTATGACAACATCTGGAATCACTACAAATGAAATCAACCTCCTATCTTCTAAATCTACAGAAATGTATTGTACAAAACAATTAAATTATGCCTGATTTCCACTACAGTACACTTTTTAAAACTCACCAATTTTAATAACGTAATTTCACAGTATTTAAGAACTTTTACTTATATTCTAAAGTAAAAGTTATGGTAGGGATTCTTACACGACATATGACTGTGGTCAACGTTATTTTTTGTCTCAATAATCCTTCCTCACTTCTGGAAACACCATCACTTCTTTTGACCAACTACATACTCCAACCACATTGTTCTATGAGGTTCTGCCAATCAGAGAACTCCATGATGAAACAGCCTTCCTACCAATCCCATGCAACACCAAGAAACTGAACATGTGATCAAACGAAGGCAATCTGAGTTGTTCCCCTGGATTTTCCAACTGGACCCTGTAGGAGAGAGTCCTTCTGACCTGAGGACAATGCAAGAAGTAAAGTGTGCTTATGACTATGGTACAAGCCTTATAGGATAAAACAGGTTTAATAATGGAGTTGACTGACAAAAAGAAGTAGAGATGAAGGCTATAGAGAAAGGAGGCCTTAACAGGGTCTCAACTCTACTGCAGGTTTTTCTGCCCTTTAGCAAAGTCTGCTTTCATCTGACCTTCTTGCAAGTGGGAGTTTGGATTCTTTCACTTGCATCATAAAGAACCTTAGCCGAAACCGGTTTGGCTCAGTGGATAGAGCGTCAGCCTGCGGACCGAAAGGTCCCAGGTTCGATTCCGGTCAAGGGCATGTACCTGGGTTGCGGGCACATCCCCAGTGGGAGATGTGCAGGAGGCAGCTGATCGATGTTTCTCTCTCATCGATGTTTCTGACTATCTATCTCTCTCCCTTCCTCTCTGTAAAAAATCAATAAAATATATTTAAAAAAAAAGAACCTTAACACAACAGTCAAGTGAATCAATGCACTCCAATGAGAGGGTATATAAAATTATGTGTGCATTTATATTTCAGGGGAGGATTCTTAGCATTCAAGATTCCCAAAGATTCTAAACCAAAAAAGGGGGAGAGGGGAATTTACATACTAACCTATCTATATAAAACTGTAATATGCAAATCGACTGAACGGCAGAACGACCAGTCACTATGATGTGCACTGACCACCAGAGGGCAGACGTTCAATGCAGGAGCTGTCCCCAGCCCACAGGCCCCGACCGGCAGTGGGGGTGGGGTGGTGAGGGTGGGGTCAGAGAGCAGATAGCGCCAGGCCAGCCAAGGCGGGAGTGAACAGGGGTTCACCAGTGGCCCCACAGATCAGCTCTGATTGCCGGCCAGGCCTAGGGATCCTACCCATGCACAAATCTCGTGCACCAGGCCTCTAGTCCTATATAATAAAAGGTTAATATGCAAACCGACTAAACGGCGGAATGACCAGTCGCTATGACACATACTGACCACCAGGGGCAGATGCTCAATGTAGGAGCTGCCCCCTGGTGGTCAGTGCGTTCCCACAGGAGGAGTGCTGCTCAGCCAGAAGCTGGGCTCACTGGGCTCACGGCACAGGCTGGACTGAGGGACAACCCCCCCCCCCACAAGTTCACGAATTTTGTGCACTGGGCCTCTAGTTTAAAATAAATTGCTTGATAAATACCAAATTCAATTAACCAAAAATACCTTCTTTAAGCTTCTAACTAATGAAAATTTCACCACAGAGAAAGTAGACAGAGTAGATAGTAAATGCAAGTAAAACTACTTACCTTCATTCCCCACATCGTCATTCATGAGTCCCCCAAGCCACAGCTTCCATTCCTCATCATCTGCTGTATTGGGGTCATACATGTCTGGGGTGATGTCTGGAGCTTGAAGCTCTGCCTCTAGTTGTCCCAGGGGAACATCTTTCAGAGGCCTCTTAGAGCGGGTTCGGAACGCAATGAGACTGTCATCCATTGGCTAGCCAATAGAGAAGGAAATAAAAACATGTCACTGAATGCCTAATGCTTCCAAATTCTTCAAACCTCATCATATCCTGTGTGCGTCTCTTAGCTAAAACGACAAAGTCTCTTCTCTAAACAATTTGGGTTTATTATTCTTTGAGAAACTTTAAGGACAATGACATAAGTCTTAAAACCAAATTTCAAGGATATTTAAAACAGCGGGTTCGGAACGCAATGAGACTGTCATCCATTGGCTAGCCAATAGAGAAGGAAATAAAAACATGTCACTGAATGCCTAATGCTTCCAAATTCTTCAAACCTCATCATATCCTGTGTGCGTCTCTTAGCTAAAACGACAAAGTCTCTTCTCTAAACAATTTGGGTTTATTATTCTTTGAGAAACTTTAAGGACAATGACATAAGTCTTAAAACCAAATTTCAAGGATATTTAAAACAGCTTACTAAGCTATAATTTATATGTCATAAAATTCACCATTAAAGACAGGCCAGAGTGGCTCAGTGGTTGAGCATTGACCTATAAACCAGGAGGTCACAGTTTGATTCCCAGTGAGGGCACACACCTGGGTTGCAGGCTCCATCTCTAGTAGGGGGTGTGCAGGAGGCAGCCAATCAATGATTGTTGTTTCTCTCTCTCTCTGAAATCAATAAAAATGTATTTTTTCAAAAAAAGAGAAATGATCCTTTCATTAAAAAAAAAATTCACCATTACAGGTATAAAATTGAGTGGATTTTACTATATTCACAGAATTGTGTAATCATCAACACTACTAGTATCTAATTCCTGAACATTGTCATCATCCCCCTCCCCCAAAATCCAATTCCCATTAGCAGTCACTCCCCACCCCATTCTCACCTGCATCCGGTCTCTGTTAACCACTTATCTACTTTCTGTCTCTAAAGACTTGCTTATGCTGGATATTTCATACAAATGGAATCATACAATACGTAGCCTTCTGTCTCTGGCTTCTTTTACTTAATGTAAGTTTATTCATTTTGTAGAATGTATCAAAACTGTGTTCTTTTTTAGTGCACAATATTATTCCATTATATGGATATATAATTTCTGGTTTATTCATTTATCACTTGAGGAAAATTTCATTTGTTTCTACTTTGGAGCTATTATGAATAATGCTGCTGTGAACATTTGTGTATACATTTTTACATGGATATGTTTTCAGTTCTCTGGAAAAGGAATTGCTGGGTCAAATGGTAATTATTGAGAAACCACCAAAACCATTTTCCAAAGTGGCTCCACCAGTTTATGTTCCCAGCAGCAACATATGAGGGTTCCACAATCTTCCACATCTTTGTCAACACTTGTTACTGAACATCTTTTTTATTATAGCCATCCTAGTGGTAATGAAGTGATATCTCTTTTTTTTTTTTAAATATATTTCATTGATTCTTTACAGAGAGGAAGGGAGAGAGACAGAGAGCCAGAAACATCGATGAGAGAGAAACATCGATCAGCTGCCTCCTGCACATCTCCCACCGGGGATGTGCCCGCAACCCAGGCACATGCCCCCGACCGGAATCGAACCTGGGACCCTCCAGTCCGCAGGCCGACGCTCCATCCACTGAGCCAAACCGGCTTTGGCTGAAGTAATATCTCATCGTAGTTTTGATTTGCACTTTCTTAATGACTGAAAATGTGGAGCATCTTTTCACTGCTTATTGACCACTGCATATTTTCTTTGGAGAAATGTCTATTCATATGCTTTGCCCATTAAAAAATTTTTTTTTTAATTTTTCAATTATAGTTGACATACAATATTATATTAGTTTTAGGTATATAACATAGTGATTAGGCATTTATATAACTTATAAAGTGATTAACTCATTAAGTCTAATACCCATCTGACACCATACTGTTGACTATATTCCCCTTGACTGATTTTATACTAGCAATTTGTACATCGTAATCCCTTCCCTTTCGTTGTTCATCCCCCTCTAACTCCTTCCTATATTTCCCATTTTTGAATTGGGTTGCTATTTAAAAGAACATTTTTTTTAAATTTACTCATTTTAGAGAGAAAGGAAAGAGGTGGGGGGGGGGGGAAAGGGAGGGTGGAAGGAAGGGAGGGAGGGGGGGAGAGAGAGAGAGAGAGAGAGAGATATGAGATGAGATTGAGATTTGTTGTACCATTTACTTATGCATTCATTGGTTGAATCTTGTATGTGCCCTGACCGGGAAGTGAACCTGAAACCTTGGTGTTATCAGGATGACGCTCAAAACAACTGAGCTACCCAGCCTAGGCAAAATCTAAATTCTTTATCATGGTTTTCCAAAACCTTCATGATCCCACACTCTAGCCTAGCTCTTTGAACACTCCTACTACTACTTCCCATGATCCTTATGAATCAGGGGCTTTAAATGTGCTATTTCCTCTGAATGAACCATTTTTCCCCCAGATCTTTCATACATGCCTGGCTCTTTCTCATTCAGATCTCAGCTCAAATGTCACCTCCTCAAGAGGCTTTGTTGTTGTTAATCCTCACCTGAGAATATTTTTCCACTGATTTTTTGAAAGAGAGTGGAGAGAGAGAGAGACAGAGAGAGAGAAACATTGATGTGAGAGAGACATCATTTGGTTGCCTCCCACATGCGCCCAGACCAGGGCCAAGGATCAAGCTGTAACTGAAGTATGTGCCTTTAACTGGAATTGTACCTAGGACCCTTCCGTCCATGGGCCAACGCTCTATCCACTGAGCCAAACTGGCTAGGGCTATGTTCCACATTTAAAAATGCTTTCTTTCACATACCTTATTCCTTCCTTAGGAACTACCATTCTCACAATAAAACAGTACAAATAAAAAAGAATATCAAAGACCTACAACTTCATAACTTTTACTTATCATATCAAAATGTATTATCGTCCCTTCTCTCTTCCCAACATGAGCAACAAATAAATTACTCCATTTGACTTTCCCAGTGATTTATTATTTAAAAAAAGATTTGTTGTGGTTAATCCTCACCTGAGGATATTTTTTCCATTGATTTTTAGAGAGAGTGGAAGGGAAGGAGGGAGGGAATGAGAGAAGGAGGAGGGAGAGAGAGGGAGAAACATCCATCAATGTGAGAAAGACACATCAATATGGTACCTCCTGCACATGGCCAGACCAGGGCTGGGGATCAAATCTACAACCCAGGTATGTGCCCTGAACCGGGAATAGAACCCTTGACCCGTGGGTACATGGGGTGACACTCTAACCAATAAGCCACACCGATCAGGGCTCTGAGCGATTAGAATTATATTTACCTGGAAAGAATCCATGCAGACTGGACTAGATGCCAGTTCCTCATCCACAGCATGCAACTTCTCCATGAAAGTACTATCTCTGGTCTGTTTGGGCTTTGGGGGGGGTGGAGGCCCCATGGGTACGACCTCAGCACTGATGTGCCTGATGGCAGGTGTGGCAATTTTCTCAGCCTGATTAAAAGATGCAAGCACATTAACAAATAAATGGGAGGGATGGAAGGAGAGAGGGAGGCATATCTTTCATATACTAATGATCTTTCTGGACCCATCTGGATAGATGTGATGGAGGTACATAAAAACAAAGACTCTGTCAAGTATATTAATTTAATTAGATTTCATGCTGTTTCCAAAGAAACCAACAGGATGCTACTTAGGTTACCAAAAGTGGGAAATGTTATAAAAATGGCTTTAGGACAATATTAGAAAACTGGTATAAAAAAGAGAAGAGTAGAAAAGAAAAAGCTGTTAGTCACTCATATTTGGTCCCTTAATCAGACATCACAAAAGCTCTTTCGCTATCACTGGGTTCAGTTTGCTGTTAAAATGTTCATTGATTTAAGAGACTTTGGAATTGAAACAGTTATAATAACCAATTAAAAATTCCAGGAAGATCCTGGCATGATTATTGGTCTTGATTGATGTTTGGCAAAGGGTAATAGCTCAGAATTCATAGTTATAACATCGCTTTTGTATGATGCAGATTTACCTCTGATAATATGCCATTCTCTTCATCTGTTTCATTCATCTCAGAAGACTGTCTCAGTCTGGATTTCTTTGCCCCACGTGGAGATGAAGCAGTGCTTTCAACATCACTTTCCAACAAACTCTACAAAACATATCCGGTTCACTTTTACATTTATGCCTCTACCTTATTCCACTGAGTTTGAAGTATCTCAAGAGAATGAATCACAAATTATCATTTAATTAGTCAGAGTAAGAGAAAATACTTTTAAATAAAAGCTTAATATTTTGAAGGTGGGAACAGAAATCATCAGATCAATATGCTCATCAGCAATGCAAACTTTGTAAAATTGTAAGGCATTTATCAAAGATCCTTTTATAAACAAGTCAAACAACACATTTAGAAATAGAATATTACCAAAAAAGAAATAGAATATTACTATAGCTAAAAGAAACAAGATAGATGAATCTCAAAGGATTAATGTTAAAAAAGAAAGCCAGACACAAAAGAATACAGACCCTCTCCCTTTAGGGAATATAACCATGCCAATCCCTCCCCCCTCTCCTTCCCCAACAAGTATGTATCTCCTAAACACCAAGGGACCCCAGGAGACTTGTGACCAGGGGAGAAATGGGCAGCAGCACCTCTTCCAGGGCTAACTACCTGAACCTGTCTCCAAGACCCCTTTTCTCTGACTTCCTAGTGAGCCAAAGCAGCCCAGCCTGGGGTCTCCTGTTGCTGCTTCAATGTCCTTCCTTGTTTCACTGTCCTAAGTGTGTTTTTGCTGCAGTCAATAAATTCTTGCTTGCTTTTCTACCAAAAAAAAGAATACATGCACTATGGGTCCATTTATATAAAGTTTAAAAACAGTAATTGAACTATAATGTGTAGAGCTGCAAATTTAGGTAACATAACTATAAAGAAAAACAAGAAGCCCTAGCCCGTTTGGCTCAATGGATAGAGCCTCAGCCTGTGGACTGAAGGGTCTCGGGTTCAGTTCCAGTCAGAGGCATATGCCCGGGTTGTGGGCTGAATCCCCAGTTTGGGGTGTGCAGGAGGCAGCCAATCAATGATTCTCTCTCAGCATTGATGTTTCTATCTCTCTCTCCCTCTCTGAAATTAATAAAAATAATTAAATCAAAACAACAAGGAAGTAATTACCAAAAAGTCAGGATAATGGTTATCTTTAGGGGAAGAGAAATGATTATGATCATGAAGGGCAAATAAGAGTTATCTTGGCAATGCTATATTTAATGACTTTGGAGAAGTTTCATGAGAATTAGCTTTGTAATTAGGCTGTATATTTTTACTGTATGTACAGCTCTGTATGTTAAATATGTTATATTTCATAATACAAGATGTGACAAAATTAAGAGTGTGAAAATACCTCTCAGACTTGGATTTATGCAAAGTGAGTAGAAAAAAGAATGGTGTCTCAATACTCTCTATAGAACAGGTGACATTACAAAGGAAGAAAATACACTCTGCCTTATTGAGCCAATTTTTTTTCTATATTATCAACACTCACAGGGTCACCACTGACCTCTTCAGCAGTCTCATCTTCTTCTTCATCATCTGGCTGGTACTCTTCATCTGAGGAATCATCTTCTTCGAGGTTGATATCCACAAACTGAGGAGGCTTCATAAATACAATTACAGAAAGAAATGAAGTAAATAGGAAATATAAACCATATGTATTTGGAAAATAAGGGGGGAAAGACAAAGCAGGAGGGAAAAAAATCCTAAGAGCACAATGAGCTAAAAGCAAGTAACAAGAAGCAGGGGTTAAAGAGACTCCTAGCAAGAAAGTCAAACCTAGCAGTTAATAGAAGAAAAATTAAAGCTAGAATTTTAAGAGTTTAATTTAAAAGTCCCCAAAATGTTAACAAATAAAAAGTACTTAGTTTTCAAAACTGATGAAGTCTTTCTGGAAAAGATTAAGAATTACCTCTTCCATGTTTACCTTAATCTCATTGGCCTTCTTAATTGGTGAAATATTCCATGTTGGAATTACCTACCAACAAAGAATATAAGTAATTAATTTCTCTTGCCTAGAATAGACTGTTTTTCATTTTTACTTTCTCTTTACCATTACAAAGAGCCATTTACCTACCATGAAGCTGCCCTGAGCTAGGGGTATTGATTATCCCTGAGGGTATACTCTCAAATATTTGTCACAGCTTGACAGAAGAAAAGGTGAGAAAACTATTTCCATCATCAGCATTTCTGCCTTAAGCCAGGTAAGAATCTGTATCTGTCTTGTCTACTTTATATCACAGCTTGGGTTCACACGAAATAATGAATGTGAAAACTACTTGTAAACTACAATATTATAAATGACAGTAGCCTTTGACATCAGTATTTTTTTTTTAGTCAATTATATAAATCTACCATTAGAATGCCTCCAAAAAGCCAGCCACAAAAAGTTCTTATGAAAGGATTTAGGGTGAAGTGTCAAGTTGTCCACAACTTATTTTCAAATAGTATAGGAAGAAACAATAGATAGATATAGACAGTTATAAAGCAAATATGGCAAAATTTTACAATTGCTAAATCTAGATGGAATATGGATTCACTAAAATTCTTTCAACTTTTTTCATGTTTTAAAACAGTAGAATTGGAGGAAAATGATTTTAAAATAATTTTTTTAAAGCTCCTACATAGTGCTGACAAAATGCTATGGAGTAGGAAATTCCTTGACTATTTACTTGTGACCCAATCAAAATCATTTTATGAACAAAATCCAACAGGCCACTAGGTTCTATCTCTACAAGGAGCCTCAGGTTTTCCACATTTCAGCACTGCCATGTCCTAGCCACTTATCTAGCTCTGTATAGCTAGGCCCGCACAAAATGTAAAGGGGATGATGTGATTCAGGGCCACACCCTTTCTCATGTTTGTTTCTGAACCAATCAGTTTCCCTACTCCCAAATACATCATGAAGGCAAAGCAGCATCTGGAAGTGTATTGGAGTTAGTCTATTGAGCATTAAGAAGCAAGAGGAACTCTAATCCTGCTCTTCCACATAAACGATAGTCTTGGATTGTTCCACTTCTCTACACCTATATTCGTGGCTGGTAACCATAATCCAGAACCCGATTTGGATCTCCTTGGCCTTTTATTCCAATCAAACATGGAAATAATGTCAATTACACTCTATATGTCAGGTAGACTTCATATAACTTCTGTCTCTCTGATGGCTGCTTTCATCATAGCTACCACATGTTCATTTGTGTACTTCCTGAAGATGTTAGTTCACTTAATGCAACAGGGTTAGTTGATTAAATTAAAAAATATGATGTGGCTGTCAAAAAGCAGACTGCATCAAAAGAAATATGGTATCTGGAACATTGAGGGGATAGCCTAACTTTAACCTGTACTAGTTAAAACACATCTGGAGCAGTAGATTCCACTTTTGGCATACTTTTAAAAGGATACAGACAAACTAGGTACATTCAGAAGAAAAGGGTGATTGATAAAAGTACTCAAAGCTATATCACATAAAGACCAATAAAATATTGGGGGACATTTAGCAAGAAAAGAATGTTACAACAAGAGATGCTAGTTTTCAGCCCTAACCAGTTTGGCTCAGTGGATAGAGCGTCAGCCTGAGGACCAAAAGGTCCCAGGCTCGATTCCGGTCAAGGGCATGTACCTTGGTTTCGGGCACATCCCCAGTAGGGGTTGTGCAGGAGACAGCTGATCAATGTTTCTCTCTCATCGATGTTTCTAACTCTCTATCCCTCTCCCTTCCTCTCGGTAAAAATCAATAAAATATATTTTTTTTTAAAAAAGAGATGCTAGTTTTCTTCGACTAGAGGAAAGGTCACGTGGAAGAAGAACAGACATTTCTTCTACAGGGTTGCAAGAAACAGAACTGGAAAAACAGATAAAAACTGCAGTATGTATTTCGGGTCCATCTTCCTCACTACCAGAGATAGAACGGACTCCCTCAGGTTATCACCTGCCTTGTCACAGAAGGTAACCATAAACTGGACAAGTGTTTGTTTAACCAGGATGTAACATGGTTCCAAGCATCAAAGACCTTGCTATACCAAAATACTTCAGAAGTTTTCAAGTGGTTCTCAAATTTCAGTGTGCAAAAGAACAAACTAGTGTGTTTTCAACAATACATAATCCCAGCCCTACTCATGGATCCTGATATGTAGGTCTGAGGTGAGCCCAAGAACAAGCATTTTTAATAAGACTCCCGAGGGAACCCACACCAGGGTGATATTGATGCAAGGGGTCCCCAGGACACACTATGAGAAATACTAAGCATTGCCACATATAACATGAATAAAACAACTGACCTCTCATTGCTTTCAACAATTCTAAATGGTTATATTTTCACATCAACTAAAATAAAAATAAACTATGCTGATGATTTCATATATTCTATCTTTACTTGTCTTTTACAAATCTTTCATTAAGAAGGCAAACTCAGATCACAATAATCACTATATTTTTTTTCTCTACAAATAACCTGAAATTAGATATTATTTGCCAACCTAAGAAAACAATAAAGAAAAAACAGAACACCCACCACTCCTTTCTCCACCACTTCCTTAAGTTTAGAGCGTGTCATTTTGGGTTCCTAAAGAGGGGGAAATGAGAAGAGTCAATAAAAATCATCATGTAATTCTTGAATTTTGAGATGCTAACTTTGCCCCCAACTGCCAAAGTATTTACAGACTCCAAGTGGCCTCCTACACTTAGCCAGTTTACAGGTAGCTCTGTTCCATGACATTAAAAAATGACAATTAACTACTCACAAACATTGGCATATCTTCAGTCTCACTGATGGCTGCTTTCATCATCGCTACCACATGTTCATTTGTGATTACTTCCTGCAGAAAGATAAAATTTCACATTATGCAACAAAGATGTGTCACTCAATAATATTCATCTCTCTGTAATTCTGCTAGACATATGTAGAGACAAATGAGAGCTATGTACTCAAACAGCTTCAGATTAGGGTAATGCAAGGCAACTAAAAGCAAAGAAGCAAGTTTTGCATAAAAACACACAGCTTCAAGCAATGTAACAGCTTATTAACTGCTACAGGGAATAAGAATGGCTTACATAAAAAGAAATTCTGCCCTAGCTGGTTTTGCTCGGTGGATAGAGCATTGGCCTTCGGACTGAAGGGTCCCAGGTTGGATTCCGGCCAAGGGCACATGCCCGGGTTGCGGGCTCAATGCCCCCCAATATGCAGGAGGCAGCCAATCAATGATTCTCTCTCATTGATGTTTCTATCTCTCTATCTCTCTACCTTCCTCTCTGAAATCAATAAAAATATTTTTTTTAAAAAAAGAGGAAATTCTAAGGTAACTATATGCTTAAGAGAAATGAATAAACAAAAGTTTTGTAAATAGCTATGTTGCTACATATTGAAGAACAGTATTTGCATATGTGCAAAGTACTGTAAAATGTTAACTGGGCATCTTTTCAGGCATATTAACCCACAAAAGAGTAAATCCAGTATAAACATTATCATCATATCATCTTCAAATCTAATAAATAATACAGTAAACAATCGAATCAGTGAAGGCAGCAGAGGAACAGTTTATCTTCCCAGTTAAGTTCTTCTTTAACATTTGTTCAGATTTCAAATGTGTGCTGAGTGCAAAGAGAAATCTATCTTGAAATGTAAAATGTTTTGCCATAGGTAACTCACAAAATTAGTAATTCACATACCAAGAGTCAAGAATTTCCTGAGTACTTTTATTTGCTTTCCATAGAAAATTTCCATTCCGATTACATAGCCGTCCCAGTCTTACTCACGTGAAGGATGTTTCGCACATTGACTGCTGTCAGGTTGTGCTGCTTGGCGCCATCCTCTAAGGTACGGTCCAGCCTATCATCCAGTTTTGGGTCATAAGCCAAAGTCCCTTCTTCTTGACCCCTTCCATCTCGTTTCCTCTTGGTACCCTTTTTCTTTTTCTGCCTTTTCTCACTTTCTTCACTGTCTTGCTCTTCTGCAAATAAACCAAGAACATCACCAGAATCTCCAAAGCAACTGCTCCCCAAACGTAACCCCAAAAGGCAACCTTGTAAAAGAGAAATAAGCTGCCAGCTGTCCGGCCCAGGAAATCAAAGATTATGCTGTGGCAGTGGTGGTAACGGTGGAGGTGATAGCACTGTCACAGTAATAATATCTAACTTTCTGTCAGGCAGTCTTCTACACACTTTATATGTAGTAATTCACTTACTCCTAAGTAATACTCCTTATGAAATAGAGACTATTCTTTTTCCCGCTGTACAGGTGGAGAAACAGAGGCTAAGAGATAAGAAACTTTCCAAAGAGCCAGTAATGACAGAACCATGTTTTGAAGCCAAGCAGTCCAGCTCTAGAATCAGCAGTCTTAATTATTACTCCACATTGCCCAGATAATGCATAGAAAACCCTCGGTTTGTGGCCCAGTTCTACAACTTAACAGGGTAACCTTGGCAACAGTCTCGTTTTTTCTTTTATAAAATATAGATATCTGCCCATCAGGAAAGCCACGTAGATTAAGTTAAATAATATATATGAAAGTGCTATATAATCAATGAAACATTATATAAATGTAACTTATAATATTACTATTCAGTGTAGAAAAGAGAAAAACAAGGAGCAAAGCTATAAAAATTCCACTCTGAATTACACAAATAAAAAAGGTACACACACAAAAAAAGATACCAAGTATCTCCATTCTACAAGAAAGGAGCACAAATATAACCAGGAAAAGAAAAAACTTCCTGCCCTGGCCGGCGTGCTCAATGGTTAGAACATTGGCTTGTGCACCAGAGGGTCTCAGGTTTAATTCCCAGTCAAGGGCACATATCGGGGTTGCAGGTTTGACCCCAGGCCCCAGTTGGGGTGCGCTCGGGAGGTAACCAATTGATGTATCTCTCTCACATCAATGTCTCTCTCTCTCTCTTCCTTTGTCACTCCCTCCCTCCCTCTCCACACACCCTCCTCCATTCCACCGTCTCTAAAAATCAATGGAAAAAAGATCTTTGTGCAAGGATTAACAAACAGAAAATACAAATCAACCAATAAATACATAAATAAGTAAAACAACAAATCGATGTTTCTCTCTCTCTCCCTTACTCTAAAATTAAAAATGTTCTAAAAAGTAAAGAAGTAAAAAGCCTACAACTATTGTCATACATAATGGAGAAACACTGAACACCTTCCCCCAAGTTCAGAAATGAGACATGGATGTTCACTATCACCACTTCTAACCTACATAGTAATTTGCAATATATATGAAAAAAGAAACCACGGGTTCACTTAAAGCCACTTAAGTTGAATAAGGAAGTCTATTTACTTGTCTGTATGTGTTATGCTGCACAAAAGTATAGTTCAAAGAATTTTTAAGGAGGACTAATTCTATAACCTATTAATTCCACCCAACGAAAATAAAGTACACATGCTCACCGGGAGATCTATAGTACAATGTTCACAGCAGCACCATTCAGAGTAGCCTACAACTAGAAATGACCCTTATGTCCATTAAGAGTTTTTTGTTTTTGCTTTTATTTTAGAGAGAGAGAGGGAGAAACATCTATGGTTGTCTTCTGTATGCACCTGACCAGGGATCAAACCTGCAACCTGGGTATGTGCCCTGACCGGGACTCCAACCCACAACCCTTCGGTGCACTCCAACCAACTGAGCCACACTGGCCAGGGCAAGAGTTGAATGGATAAAGAAAATGTAGAACATTCAAGAACAGAATACTACATAGCAAAGAAAATGAACAATCTACAAATACATGAAACAATGTGGACCAATTTCATAAATATATAGTTAAGTGAAAAAAGGCAGTCACAACGTACTTTATATTCCATTCATACAAAGTACAAAACAGATGAACCAATCTATGCTGCTAGAAGTCAGGATAATGGTTACCCAGGGGTAAGGTGTTGGTAATAACTTAAAGGGAGTACTTTTGAGTACAGGTAATATTCTGTTTCCTTTTTTTAAAAAATATATTTTATTGATTTTTTACAGAGAGAAAGGGAGAGGGATAGAGAGTTAGAAACATCGATGAGAGAGAAATTGATCAGCTGCCTCCTGCACACCCCCTACTGGGGATGTGCCCACAACCAAGGTATATGCCCTTGACCGGAATCGAACCTGGGACCCTTCAGTTCACAGGCCGACGCTCTATCCACTGAGCCAAACCGGTTAGGGCTCTGTTTCCTTTTTTTAAAATGGGAATGTTCCAAGGAAATGTTCATCTATTTTTAGAGAGAGAAAGGGAAAGAGGGAGAGAGAGAGAAAAACATCAATGTGAGAGAGAAGTATCAATTAGCTGTCTCCCATACAGGCTCCAATTGGGGACCAAACCTACAACTCAGGCATGGGCCCTGATCGGGAATGGAACTGGAAACATTTGGTGTATGGGCTGACACTCCAACCAATTGAGCCACCCCGCCAGGGCAGTAATATTCTTTTCTTGATCTGGTTGCTGGTTACACAGGTGCATTCAAACTCTGAAAATTCAATAAACTTTTATATCTTAAGATATGTGCAGTTTTCTGCATATTATACTTCAATAAAGAGGGTTAATTTAAAAAAAAAAAAAAAAAGGAAGAAAAAGAGAGCCTACCCATTGGAATAAAGAGTCCATCATCCTCTATCTCTTCCTCAGCTTGGTGATCTGAAGTCCTGAATGGCTTTCCTTGAGGAGAGGCACAGGCATCTGGCTGAGATGATTTCCTAGGCTGGGCTCCTAGTTTTACAGAGTGGCTGCCTGATGGCAATAAAGGCATCTCTTCTCCAGAATGCATCTGAGGTTTTCCTGGAAGAATTACAAACACTGCTTCACACTTTCACCATTCTTAGTCATACTCTATTGTAGAAATCAGGATCTTGTTATAAAGTCCTTTGTAGGTAGATAACTTTGTTAATGATGCTTATATTATACAGGCATTCCTCTCTCTTAAGACAGTGTCCTAAGAAAAATATTGAAATATGCTCACATCCAATTTACTCATCTATAATGTCAGGGAATTGAAGTAGATAATTGCTAAGGTCTTTCTAGCTCTATTACACTGAGAGCTATGCATTTATTTCCTACTAGAGGCCCGATGCACGAAATTCATGCAAGAGTAAGCCTTCCTTCCCCCAGCACCCAGGACCTAGGCTTCCCTCACAGCCCCGGCTTCGTCCGGAAGGTCGTCGGGTCTGATTAGCATATTACACTTTTATTATTATAGATAGAAAAATCAGATTCATATGGGGGGGGAGGTGTTATAGTGCTGATGACAAAGGGACAATTTATATAGTTGACCATTAACATCACATTTAATTAACTATAAATGATATACATTATAAAATGTGGTTACCAGAGGGGAAGTGGGGTGGGGAAGGACAAAGAGGTAAAGGGGGTCAAATACATGGTGATGAAAGGAGATTAGACTTCAGTGGTATAAGTAGGCAGATGTCATATTATAAAGTTCTACACCTGAAATTTGCACCATGTTACTAACCAATGTTACCCCAATAAATTTAATTTTTTAAAAAATCTCTAGATTCCACTCAATAGCTAAGTGACATTGAACCCCTACTTAATTATCCATTCCTTGTTTAGCACTCTAATCTTGTATTTTTCTCCAGTTCTTCCTGTCTTCATGTCACCATTACAACTTAGTTTAAAGAAAGAAATTTAACAATCAGCCCCTCAAATATGTTCCCCATTATGACAGCATGCTTCACCATCCCCCAATCCAGATACCTTAAATCATAGCAGTCTCTGAGCAACATTAGTTATTTCTTTGTCAAGTCTAAATTATACTCTTTATTCTCTATTCTTTATAAGGTCTTAAGGGGATAACAGCATGGCTGTGAATACCTTGATCTGCCCTTTCTTTCTGAAGCCCTGCTACATTCCTACACAAACACAGCACACAAATTAATCACATGTTGTCTTATACTGTTCCAAATGTTTATGTCTTGTCTTTCCAACTAAACTATAAGCTTCCTGAGGTTAGAACTATGTCTTCTGCTTCTTTTATGCATCAACTAGAGGCCCGGTGCATGAAATTCGTGCACTCGGGGGAGGGGGAGTCCCTCAGCCCGACCTGCCCCTCTCGCAGTCTGGGAGCCCTCAGGGGATGTCCAACTGACGGCTTAGGCCCTAAGCCAACAGTAGCTAAGGAGGCGGGAGAGGTTCCCGCTATCGCCACTGCCCTCACCAGCCGTGAGCCCGGCTCAGGGCTTCTGGTTGAGCAGCGCTCCCTGTGAGAGCGCACTGACCACCAGGGGGCAGCTCCTGCATTGAGCGTCTGCCCCCTGGTGGTCAGTGTACATCAAAGCAACCAGTTGTTCTGCCATTCAGTTGATTTGCATATTAGCCTTTTTTTTTTTAAAATATATTTTATTGATTTTTTACAGAAAGGAAGGGAGAGGGATAGAGAGTTAGAAACATCGATGAGAGAGAAACATCGACCAGCTGCCTCCTACACACCCCCTACTGGGGATGTGCACGCAACCTAGGTACATGCCCTTGACAGGAATCGAACCTGGAACCTTTCAGTCCACAGGCTGACGCTCTATCCACTGAGCCAAACCGGTTAGGGCTAGCCTTTTATTATATAGGGTTAGCTATCACCTACAGGAAAAGTTCAAACACCTGAGCATGGAAAATAAAACCCTTCACAATCTAAGCACAATCTACCACTCTGAAGTCCTCTCTCACCACTTCTTCCAAGCAATGTCACCATCCTCTTCTGCCTCTGACATCTGGCTGACTACTGTTGGCCTATGAAACCCTATGCCATCATTCTGTCAAACTGCAACTCATCCTTCAAGTCCTAAGGGTTAGGTAAAGCCTTTCCCAATGTCCCAGGCAGTAGTCTCTAAGCCACTGACCCTCCTCCACAAGCCCCCACGTCATAGATATGCACCAAATCACAAAAAGCTATACATAGTTCATACCTCCAGACAAGAAAGGATAGAGAAAGGAAAGAAAAGAACACAGAAGATTTAAGGAATGGGAGGGGAGAAGAAAACCTCCACCCATTCATAAAGTTCACTGCTGACCTTCGGAACTCTGCAATTCCAATTCCATGCCAAATCAAGATCCCCTTTCAGAAAAACTAAATTTTGTAAAGGCACTAACAAGAGTGCAGTAGCAAAGGCAAACACAATGCCAAACCGCTGACAAGAACACATAGCAAGACCATGCATAGCTTACCTCCCTCTTCCTTGACTTCTTCACTAGGCTCTCCTGAAAAAGGCTCCTTTGTGATAAGATGATCACCTTCGTCTGGCTTGGGCCTGAGTGTCATTTTCTTCCCTCTCTTTGAACCAATGGCAAGGAGTTTTTCTTTATCAATGTGTATGTTAAGGGGCTGGGAAGACTCCAAGGAAGGTAGGGCGATTCCCGTTGAGATGGCCACATTAACAGCTTCTAGAACTGCTGCATTTGTGTCCTGGGTGAGTACCCTGGAACTCAAAGATGGATCTTCCACACCAAGCTGATTTCCTGCATCCTGCACAGATTCAACTTCCAGACCAGCTGCACTACCATGACTTCGACCCCAGGCCAGTGACACTGACCCCAAGTCTTTAACCTGGTCAGATTCTGGTTGAACAGCTGACTCTAGGTCTAAGTCCTCTTCCTCCAGGTTGCCCTGATGCTGTGGGAACTCAGTCTCTGAAGTTCTTCTCTTCTTGCTGGGCAACATTTTAAAAGTCCTACTTTCGTTCCATCCTGAAAGGATAAAAGCAAGTTTTTATCACCTTCATATTAACTATGATAATACTTCCTCAAATATATTTTCACTTACTCATATTCAATCATGAACACAGTACTTTATATCAAATGCACCTTATTTCCATTAGGTGGAAGTGGACAGACAGTGGTTAGAGTGCCTGAGATCCCAATTCTACTGCTGATTAGTAAGGTATCTTGCTTAGTGACTTAACCTCTCTAAACTTCAGTTTCCTCCACTGTAAAAAAGAATTGTTTTTACCTCATAAGACTTGTTATAAGAATTACATAGTAGCCCTAACCGGTTTGGCTCCGTGGCTAGAGCGTCAGCCTGCAATCTGAAAGGTCCCAGGTTCGATTCCGGTCAAGGGCATGTACCTTGGTTGCGGGCACATCCCCAGTTGGGGGTGTGCAGAAGGCAGCTGATTGATGTTTCTCTCTCATCAATGTTTCTAACTGTCTATCCCTCTCCCTTCCTCTCTGTAAAAAATCAATAAAATATTTTTAAAAAAAAAAGAATTACATAGTAAATGATGAGTGTCAGTTATTATTATTACCACCAGGCGGGTAGAAGAGCACGATGCTGAGACCAAACAGAGTCAAACTGTCTGGATTTGTTTCCCAAGTCTGATTCTCTCCAGCTTCGTGACCTTCTATACATTACTTAACCTGAATCTGCTTCTTCAGTCATCAACTAAATTAAAAATAGCAGTTACATCATTAGATAGTAATTTATTAGATCAATCAATGTTCTCCATTTCTGTTTGCATAAACAGGTTATTTCCATTAACAGAAACAATCCAAAAGTAAAATGTGTTTGTTTAAAGAGGTTAGGCCTTGCCCTGGATAGTGTTTCTCAGAGGTTAGAGCGTGCACAGGCCCACACACCGAAGGCTACAAGTTCGATTTCCGCCAACGGTATGTACCTGGGTTGCAGGTTTGATTCCTGGCCCCAGTCCAGGTGTCATGCAGGAGACGACCAATCCATGTTTCTCTCTCACTCACTCCCTCCCTTCCACTCTCTCTAAAAATCAATGGAAAAAAATATACATCTTCGGGTGAGGATTAACAAATAAATAAAGAGGTTAGGCGATATTAACAGAAATTCTGTGTTGTAAACAAGAGAGAGATTCCTACTGTTCTCCGTACTAAGTTACTTCTGACGCTTGCTTTCAATTCCAGTTATCACAGTTTAGGAGCAACACTAACCTAAATTGGATGGTATCTTCTTTCATGTTCTTCTAGCACCTGTTTGCAACCTCTTTTATAATAATTATAACTTTTGTAATTGCCTCTTGTCTGTCTCCTTCCTATCCACCTCCACAAAAAAACTATGTGGTTTTTCAGAAAAAGGACTTTTTCAACTAGTACCCCTAGTACCAGGCAGTATCTGCCCTATTGTAAAGACTGACTGAATGAATGAATGAATGAATGGAAAAGAGTGTGGCTCCGGCCGGTGTGGTTCAGTTGGTTGAGCATCCTCCCACGCACCGAGATCACCAGTTCGATTCCCCGACAGGGACATGCCCAGGTTTCAGGTTCGATCCCCAGCAGCGGTGGAGGCAGCAGATTGATGTTTCTCTCTCTCATCAATGTTTCACTCTCCTTCTCCCTTCCTCTCTCTCTCTCTAAAATATCAAAAGCATATTTTAAAAAAGAGAGCATGAACTTCCTACTCTGTGCTTATTTTATGCAGCATTTAGACCAAAGTTAAGCATTATATGGAAACTTTCTAACCAAAAAACTTTACCCAATAAAATAGGTACAAGAACAGAATAAGTTACCTTGTGTTACAGTGAGTTCTTCATCACTGATAATGTTCAAGTCTGAATGCCCATCCACCAGGGCACTAGATGAATGTTTGGACTACAGGACTGCAAAATGAAGTTCTTTTTTATTTTATTTTCCGTCTTAAATAATTTCCCGTATTTAAGGAGTTGAGAGAAAGAGAGAAACATTGATTTGTTGTTCCACTTATTTATGAATTCATTTGTGGATTCTTGTATGTGCCCTGACCGAGGATCGAACCCGAAACCTTGGTGTATCCTGACGGTACTCTAACCAACAGGGCAAAGTTCCAACTCTTCAGAGTCTGAACTATAAAGTTAGTTTTAAACCTCCCTAATTCAGCTTCCACAGATCCTAGGAGAGATCTCCCCCCAACTCCAATCTACCAACGCCTTTATCTTGGTAATTAAAGCTCAAGGGCGGGTGGTAAGTGGGTAAGGGGAGTGGGAGTAGTTTAGGCGAGTCCAATATTCTGCAGATGAATTACTGAGGTCCAGAAAAGGGGGGGGGGGGATTAAGAATGAAAGAAAAGACAGCCAGCTACCATTTAAAGTCAGCTGCGTACAGGGATCGGCTCCCGGCACTTATAATACAGCAATTCTAAAGCGGCTCACCTTTTAGGAACTGGAGTGGGACCAACAGGGTGAACGAATGCAAATCCGAAGGTAGCCCCCGCGCGAGCCCCTCCTGGGGATATTTTCCAAAAGGGGGGCCTGACTGCGCTTTTTACCAGGGGCCGAGCACTGGCCCAAGTCCCCGCGCCCGGCTAGACCCCCTCGGACCTCTACCTTCTGTCCCACACCCCGCGCCAGCCCTCAAACCCGACCCCCGCAGCCTGGACATCCCGCGCCCGGACGTGCAGCTCCCACTCGCCACTTCCCGCCTCACGGCACGGGACACGGTCCCCCCACCAGCGACTGATCCCGCGGAAACTCGGAGTCGGGGCCACCGGAAGTCAGCCGGCGGCAGCAACTTACGTGCGCGCCCCCGAGTCGCGGTGCGCGGCGTCAGGACGTTAAAGAGCGCGCTCCAATCACTGGGCGCCGTCCCATTTGCGGGCGGGGCGTCAGGACGTCAAAGAGCGCGCTCCAATCACTGGGCGCCGTCCCACTTGCGGGCGGGATGAAGCCGCAAGGCTAGCACGTCCGTTGTGGGCAAAAAGTTTTAAGGAAATATCCCTCTTACTCGGCCCCAGGCGCTGCTCAAAACAAAACTTGGGGTTGTGATTCGTTAGTTTAACTTGACAACGAATCCTTCTTGCCGCGTCACACCTGAACTACGGGGCCAAGGAAGTGGAGAATTCAGAAATTTTCAGAAAGGAATCCCTGGGTTACCAATAGGGCAGTTATTTGTACTAGTGAGTCATGGAGTCACTCCATAGTAACTACTGCTCATAACTGTATAATACTCTGCCATTTTACAAAATTCTTTCACTTACGTTATCATAGGTGATTTGATCTCCCCGATAAACCTTATGGAACGTGGGTATTATACTTTCAAATTTACACGGAACAAATTTCTGGCTCATTTTGGATAAGTGATTTCACAAAGGTACACACAGCTATCAAGGGGAATGGGGTATCCTTAACTCTAGCTTCTAATGCATTGATCCAACGTCCAGGAAGCATAGTTGATGTCCAATAATTCAATACTTGTGTTTTGAACAAATGAATGACTCCTAGAGCCATGTTCTTTCCACTTTTCTAGAAGAAGAGAATGTCAAAATTGGAAAAATACACTCAACTCTCTCATTTTGCAGGTGAACCACCAACAAATATTTTATGCATTTAAATAATCTATGTAACCTGATCCTGTCTGTAAACAGAATCGATGAAAGTATCCACAGCCAAAATGAAGAGTGAAATTAATATACTCATGGACACAACTGCAATCTGACTCTAGCCTCAATCACCCTAACTTTCCCAAATGCCAAGGTAGTCCCTAGAAGCTTGGAGTTTCATTTGTGGCTTGCTTTTGAACCTGTAGCATATGGGTATCTTCCCTGGAAAAGTTTTGTTGCTCACAGAGTTTCAAATATCAGAGCCTCTGGTCATCTGATGGTTTGCACATGCTCTCTCTCCTAAGCAGAACCTAATCACTTGACACTTTAAAAAAGAAATATGGCCCTAACTGGTTTGGCTCAGTGGATAGAGCATAGGCCTTCAGACTGAAGGATCCCAGGTTCGATCGGGTCAAGGGCATGTACCTTGGTTGCAGGCACATCCCCAGTAGGGAGTGGGCAGGAGGCAGCTGATCGATGTTTCTCTCTCATGGATGTTTCTAATTTTCTATCCCTCTCCCTTCCTCTCTGAAAAAAAAACCAATAAAATATATTTTAAAAATAAGTAAAAAAAGAAAGAAATATGCAGCGCTGATTAATTTTGGCATTCTTCATTAGTCTTTTTATTTATTTTTAATTTATTTTATTATTTGTTTGTTTTTCAACATCATTTTTTTTAAATCCTCACATGAGGGTATTTTCCATTGATTTTTTTAAAGAGAGTGGAAGAGATATCGATGTGAGAGAAACATCGATTGGTTGCCTCCTGCACTCGCCCTGGAGCCTGCAACCCAGGTACGTGCCCTTGACCGGAATCGAACCCAGGACCCTTCAGTCCGCAGACTGACGCTCTATCCACTGAGCCAAACCGGCTAGAGCTTCATTAGTCTTTTTATAAAAACAGCTTTAATTTACACACCACAAAATTCATCCGTTCTACTTGTATAATTAAATTGTTCTAAGTAAATGTTCAGAGTTGTGCATCCATCAGGAGGTCTACTCTTTAGTCAGAGTTTTAGCGTTTCTGAAGTTTAAGAATGTTTCCATAATAACCTTTAGTGGGCTCAGAAATGCGTAACAATAATGGCAATGGATACTGACATGCAGACATACAGAATTTTGTTTTTCCAAAATCCTGGGCTCCCTCTCAGCCAGAACATTCCGCTGCTATATTAAGCCCAGGGGATCAGAATCATGATAACATACCTACATTTCTTACTCTATCCTTGGGGTTTTCTCTTTTAGACCAACAGCCCGTCAGTGGGCGGGGTCTTATTCTCAGGAAATCCCGGTGATGGGGTCCCCGCCCAGAGATCTTCCGGAAAGGGGCGGGTCCTGCCTTCCGGAACTTTTCGGACAGAGGCGGAGTCTTCTGCCGAGGACCGCTCGGAAGAAGGCGGGGCCTCCCTCGCATCAGGACCAGTCTGGCTGCACCTGCATCCTTAGCTCAGAGCATCCCTGGAGCATCTTAAGAGGCGACCGCAGCTGGCAACCGGGGACCAGACCGTCACAGGGGGCACCCGCCAGATACCTCCCCCCTCCCCTGACCTAGCGCTGTACAGCGGCGGCCTCGGTTCTGATCCAGGGTTCTCAGAGTTGTCTGACCATTGCAACAGCCTTTACAGCAAGAGCCTCTGATTACGACATGGCCGAAATCACCAATATCCGACCTAGCTTTGGTAAGTACAGTCGGTCCAACTAAGCCTGCGGTAATCGAAAGAGTTATCAAGCTAGGGGAACCCAGCGGCTGCACAAGGAATGAAGCCCAGACCGGGGTCTTCAAGTGCCAGCCCCGCTAGAATCGGGCCTGTGGAGGTGGGTCGTGGGCAGTGGACAGAGCCTGAACTTAAACTATGGGCTGCAGAGGCTGGGAAGGCTAGAGACATGGAGGCTGGTGGGGGGTGGAGGTCCAGGATGCTAAAAACCTCGTATGGTGCACCGTCAGCACTGCTGGAGGTGAGAAACAGAGAGTTTGCAAAGGATGCGAACCCCTCCTTCTGGGGAAGGAGAGGTGGAGTAGGCCGAGCCCTCCCCCTTGGGGCACGCAGGGCGGTGCCCCTTCCTCCCCATCCTAGTCCTCGGGCTGCGGGGGAGGGAGATGGCAAGGGGGATAGGGCATCAAGATGGCAGTTTGGAGACTGTGGGCTGTGTGGATGGCAGCCAGGGGAGGCAGCGGCCTCTAGGGAGAGCGGTGCGGGGGTGGGGAGTTAAAAGGAAGCCACTCCTTAAGCCGGTCAGCTGGATGCTGAGGCTGAGGGGAACCGCGAGCCCTGCAAGTTCTATTCTGCATCGTAATGGTGGGGTCCTTCTGATGCTACCAAATGGCGCTTGGTGCTGCTGGGCGAGGGGATGACGTGATGTCTATTTCTGGGCCTCCTGGCAGTGCCCAGGCGCTTCCTCCCAGGCCTTTTGTTCCCCGTCCTCTGGGCTGGCTTTTCAAACAGGGGGACTCACCCGCGCTAGTGCTGGAGCTGGTGGGGGCCCGACCCAGGCCGGAGGGGGAGGGGCGTGAGAGGCCCGGCCCGGGGGAGGCCGCTTTGTGTACCGGAGAAAGCATTACGTCATCTCGGCGCGGCTCCAAGATCTGTTACATTCCTTGGAGCAGAGAGTGGAGTGGAAAATAGGAAAAATGGGAAATAAAAGCTCGAGAAACAAGTTTTTCCTCCTAGGGAATTCCTCCAAAATATGCCAGGGTAACAAACTACCTGTGCTATGTTTTCCTGGTGCAAAAATAAAAAAAGAATTGCCCTGCTTCTCCCTCAATTCTACTTAACCCCAGTTTGGATGGTAGAAGCCAGTGAGAGTGCTGTCAGCCCAGGGTTCCTTCATATCCCTTAAGAGATCCTAACCCTCAGACAATCCAGAAGTTTTGAGCATCCAGGGTTTGGGTGGGTCCACAATCCAACATGGAAGTGGCTTTTCTCACTCTCCAGTCAGAGGTTTATGGAAATGAGCAAAACCCAATGTGCTCCATTCTCTCAATATTCAGAAGACATCAGATCAGGGGAAGTATCTAGACAGCAGATCACACCCAATTACTACTTGTTCCCACTGATTCTCCAGGCTAAACCTTGATGTTTTTGTCTTCCACTTCACCTTCTGCATTGCTATTCTTTGAGTCCTAAATTTCTAAAATAGATGTCTCTTTGGAGATTGCATGAGCACCCTATGATTTTCTTTCTGCTCTTTCTTTTTCTTCTTATGCCTTCTTTTCAGCATGTTCTTTTTTTCTAATTGCATTTCCCAATTCCTTGGAACGTGAGATGGTGTGATTTCCTTTAGAAGGAATATTAGTGGAAAAGAGAAAATAAATTTTATCAGCCTTTTACATACTACATTTTATTTAATCCTTACAAATATCCTCTGATGTAGGAATTATTATATATACTTTTCCAGTTGAGGAAACTGAGGATCAGGGAGATAAAATAAATAAAAGTTACACAAAATAGTGATGGTGGTGCCAATGTCCAGTTGATGCCAAAGTTTGTTCTCATATCGGTATCACACTGGTCTATTTGACAGGGAAAAGCTGGTTTAGTAAAGGAAGTCAATAAGCAGGTCTGGTCAGGGACTCACAGAGTTGGGCATAGCCCAGATGTGTCTCACAGGCCTTTCAACCCTTACAGAGGGTTTCCTACACAAGAACTGTTACTTCTGACTTTTTCATGTCTCATAGAGCACTTCATTTCCAATGCCTTAGCCCTTGGGAGATACACCAAGCCAGCGCTCAATTATCCACAACCTTAGAGTACAAAAGGAACAAGAAGCATAGGTCACTGCAATTTACAACTACTTTAAGCACTCACTTCAGATATTAGCTCCAACTTCCTTTTCCCACCAACCTTTTGACTAAAACAAGACAGAGGGTTCTGAGTCTCAACATCCCCGATTTTCCTAATTAACTGCCTTGAGTGTGGGAAAGGGGGGCAGAGGTTAACAAATAATTAAGAAAAAAGTAGGGCAAAGGTGGGAAATAAGGTGGAGAAAAGCACGTAGGTGATTTATAAATGGATTGATCTGTTTCTCTTCTTTTCCTTCTCCGTCCTTCTGAAAGATAAGAATCCTTCATCTTCTTTCTTACCCACACCACCTGCATTTTCTAGCAGTAAAAGCCAAGGCATGGGAAGCAGCAGGGGGTTCCCTTGGGATCGCAGAGTAAATTTAAGGTGGAGCCAAAAGGATCTCTCAAATGTCTCCCAACACGGC